AGGAGGTGGGAGGGTCTGCTAGGGAGGGTGTGCTGCTAATTGGCTGGAATGTGTCTGCTGACTGTGAGGTACAGGGTCAAAGTTTACTCAATGATGACGAATAGGGGGCGGGTCGAACCGCGCATATGTTCGCCCGCCGTGGCAAACGCGAACATGCTATGTTCGCCAGGAACCGTTCGCTGGCGAACCGTTCGTAACATCACTAGCTGTGCATACTCATGTATATTCAACATGGATAATGGTCTGTCAAAATATATGACAGGATTGGTGCATCCGGGCAACACACTGACATGCTCATTTATTTTACCAATGTACCAAGGATATCTTGTACCAATATCCTTTAATTTTGGCAGGTAAGCAGTTTTTCTGATCAAGTTCAGTCTTCTACATTCTATGTCATTTGTTTTAATATTGGAGATTAAAACGGGAAGCAATAGGATGTTTAGGTGAATGTTTGAAATAGTCATGTATTAGACATTTATCAGCAATTAGTTTAAAGGTTCTTTTAAAAATGATCTACATTATTTTTGCCTCATCACAGTTAGCTTATAGCTTAATGGTGATGGTGGTAGGTTAATGGGGTGGACAAAGGCGTTTCCATCGCCTCTCCTATATTTATCAATAGTCCCCCTGCTGAAGTGTCTCCTCAATTTATTAAATCATAGGCCTCATCTGCCATCTGGGGTGGGCAGGGGTGACACTAGAAAGTTCATCTTGTCAGTTCAACCATAGCCCCTACCAAGTGGCCATGGGTGGGGACATCCGATTCCCATAAGAAGAGGCACAGGGCTAACTGTGCTAGATCTCCACCCGTATTTTATTGGCTATTGAGCATCAATAGCTGACATGTTGCTCATTTTTAAATATAGCGAACAGCCTGGCTGCTCACTGTTTTGTAGACAATTGGCACCAATTTAATGGAGGCCATAGTTTTAAACGTCTGTGACCCTTTGACTTGCCCCTACTCTTCATGGAATAATTCTACACTGAAAGCCTTCCAGATCTCATTTTCAAATTATCTGAGAAGCTTAGGAAAGTCAAATAGGTATGTCACAGCCCTATAATTTGCCATTACACAGTGATCAAATTAAAGCCTAAGAGCTTTTAAAGATTTCAGGGCAATTCGGCACGACACCAGTGAGTACTAACTAATAAGCAGGATTTAAAACACATAAACTCACAAAAGTCAATTACTGTAATTTTCCAGAACGCTATTCGTTTCCTTGACAACTCAGAATGAAGTTTACAATCATAACTGACAGACGCATGCAAGGTCTGAGGCAAATAACTGTAAACATGGCAAATTTAGGCAACAAAGCTACCTAACAAAATTACTCAACATATGTTGCTACTGGGTCATATTTATAAAGTGTCTCTGTTTATTGCATTTGATGAAGAAATATGTTTCATTTAAAATAAAAAGCATTCGTGCTTGTTTTTTTTTTTTTTAAAGATGGGGGTTCATTTTATATGGATTGTCTTGTGTTTAAAAGCTCAGATCAAATTTGTTATTTGTACCTACAGCTATTTCTCTCCGCACTTTTACATATTACCTTGAGAGGATAATAAACATCTCTCGCTTACAATCAACTAAACAACAAAAGCGTAGACAGCATGTGCTGACCAATAGTGATGTCGCGAACACGAAATTTTCGGTTCGCGAACGGCGAACACGAACTTCAGCAAATGTTCGCGAACCGGCGAACCACGCGAACCGCCATAGACTTCAATGGGCAGGCGAATTTTAAAACACACAGGGACTCTTTCTGGCCACAATAGGGATGGAAAAGTTGTTTCAAGGGGACTAACACCTGACTGTGGCATGCCGGAGGGGGATCCATGGCAAAACTCCCATGGAAAATTACACAGTTGATACAGAGTCTGGTTTTAATCCATAAAGGGCAGAAATCACCTAACATTCCTAAATCACAATCAATATGGATTGACACCTGACATATGACATATTGACACCTCGACATATGGATTGACACCTGTCCTCAGAGCCCCTGATGCACACGGACACAGAGCAGAATAGAGACTGGTCCCCCTACATAGGGTCACTTGGCAGATATGGATTGACACCTGTCCTAAGGATCCCTGATACACACCGACACAGAGCAGAATAGGGACTGTTCCTCCTACATAGGGTCACTTGGCAGATATGGATTGACACCTGTCCTCAGAGCCCCTGATACACACTGACACAGAGCAGAATGGAGACTGTTCCCCCTACATAGGGTCACTTGGCAGATATGGATTGACACCTGTCCTCAGAGATCATGATACACACTGACACAGAGCAGAATAGAGACTGTTCCCCCTACATAGGGTCACTTGGCAGATATGGGTTGACACCTGTCCTCAGAGATCATGATACACACCGACACAGAGCAGAATAGAGACTGTTCCTCCTACATAGGGTCACTTTGCAGATATGGATTGACACCTGTCCTCAGAGCCCCTGATACACACTGACACAGAGCAGAATAGAGACTGTTCCCCCTACATAGGGTCACTTGGCAGATATGGATTGACACCTGTCCTCAGAGACCATGATACACACTGACACAGAGCAGAATAGAGACTGTTCCCTACATAGGGTCACTTGGCAGATATGGATTGACACCTGTCCTCAGAGACCATGATACACACTGACACAGAGCAGAATAGAGACTGTTCCCCCTACATAGGGTCACTTGGCAGATATGGATTGACACCTGTCCTCAGAGACCATGATACACACTGACACAGAGCAGAATAGAGACCGTTCCCCCTACATAGGGTCACTTGGCAGATATGGATTGACACCTGTCCTCAGGGACCATGATACACCCCGACACAGAGCAGAATAGAGACTGTTCCCCCTACATAGGGTCACTTGGCAGATATGGATTGACACCTGTCCTCAGAGCCCCTGATACACACTGACACAGAGCAGAATAGGGACTGTTACCCCTTGGCAGATATGGCGTGGTCTTGGGAGGAGGAGGATGACTTTCACCTCTTCCCCTTTTAGATTCCCATTGTGCTGTGACATCACCCTTATACGCTGTGTAAAGCATACTTTTTAATTTATTTTGCAAATGCTACATCCTTTCCGACTTGTAATTCGGTCACATTTACGCCACTGTCTGTTTATACCGGGGGTCTAGTAGCGTGGACACCCAGCACAGGTCGTTCTCCTTCAGCCTTTTTATATGAGGGTCCCTCAACAGGCACGAAAGCATGAAAGACCCCATTTGCACAAGGTTGGATGCCGAGCTACTCATTTCCCATTCCTCCTCCTCACACAGAGCAGAATGGGGACTGTTCCCCCTACACTTGGCAGATATGGATTGACACCTGTCCTAAGGTGTGGCGAAACCAACCTCGCCACTATGCACTGGAGAAGCCTGGTTGCCAGCCTCCTGCCATCTGACTATGGCCCCCTTGTGAATTTGTACTTTTGTATGCAATATTTGGGCATGTGACATTCTTATATTGCTGCTACTGGCCCTTTAAGGGCCATCCGTGAACATATTCTGCCTGTTAGGAATAATGCCTTTTTAAGACTGTGTAGCAAATTGCATTCAGGCTGTATTTAATATTATATGTTCGGTATAAAGTGTTAGGTGAATGCAGCATTCCCCTGATGGTTCGGTAGAATCACTTCATTCATTATATTGGGTGAAACTACCGAACAACCAGACCACCCGGGAGTAAGTGTGCCTCCAATTACCGTTTGCAACAATGTTGCAAACGGGTAATTGGCAATCTGTGTAATGTGTGTTGTGTCCTCTGGGTGGCCGCCATTCGGGAAACGAACACGTGGCGGCGGCCATCTTAAACTCCCGAACAGCGGTGTTTTGCCGTCGAGTGTCTGGAACTAAAATCGGACACTCGACTAAGCAAACACCGCTGAGACCTCCAGACTTCCAGCAATTCGTGCAGAAACTACCGAACGGCCCGCCGTTCGGTAGAAAGGATCCCACGAACAGGGGGATTCATACGAATCCTCCCCAAGCTCCATAACACAGGCCATTCGTGTGTTTGATTCCCTTTTCTGTGACCGACTGCAGGGCCAAAGTACATGGAACTATTTTCGGATACTTTTGCCATGCAGTCGGTCAAAACTTTAACCCTTTATAATTCCTGAACCCCTGGTCTGATCTGGGTGATTTTTGGATATGTGTCTCACCCAGATCAGGGTTACCAGGGGATGTAACATTTAAAGGGGTATTCCTATGTTTAGGGGTACATCCAGTATCCCAGGGAATTTGTGTCTGTACTAATGGGATTATGTGTCACACAAAGGGGAGGAGATGTGTGGGAGGTAACTGGTACATTATTGGCTGGGGTACTAATTGTTGTGGATCCCTCCCTTGCATGGGAGAATGTCTTAAAAGGAGGCTGTGTGAATAAATCTGTTGATTCTGCTTAACCCTCAAAGCGGAGGTAATAGATCTAGTTATTGGGGAATTAGGATTGTTGTGTGCTGACTGTAGGAGTGTAAGCTGTTAGTATTGCTTTTCCTGTTAGAGCTGCTTCAGGTTAGGTGGATTTCTTGTTGGAAGGTTGGGGATTAGGTACAGTTTGGAGTTGAGGGAGGTTGGTGATTGCAATAGCTGCTTTGGTCTATGGGAAGGGATTAGCCAGCTGTGGATTTTATCCTTGTGTGAGAAAGCGGTCAGGAATTACAATTGGTGGCAAGCGGCGGGATCGTTCCTACAACCAGAAAGACAGCTACAGGGCAACACCATTCCTTGGATTACAAAGTGAGGGCAACGCCAGTACACGTACAGCGACCCTATCGACGAAAGAACCAAATTCAGCAGCGCAAGCATGGCACCTAGCTACACTCAGGAGCAGTATGACAGAGAGTTTGCTATGCGGCTGGCTTTCTTTGGACCCAACCCCCCAGAGAAATACGTGCAGTTTGTAAGGAGCCAGGTAGTCGAGTACCTGGAGTTCATGGCAGATCCAGCCAAAGGTATCAGCCGCCCTATCCGGAGGCAGAGTGCGTTACGGGGACTCATAGGTGTGTCCCAGGGAGCAGAAGGTGTCGTCCTTCCTCCCCAGCGGCAGTGTGTACCCCAGGGAGCAGAAGGTGTCGTCCTTCCTCCCCAGCGGCAGTGTGTGTCCCAGGGAGCAGAAGATGCCGTCCTTCCTCCCCAGCGGCAGTGTGTGTCCCAGGGAGCAGAAGGTACCGTCCTTCCTCCCCAGCGGCAGTGTGTGTCCCAGGGAGCAGAAGGTGCAGTCCTTCCTCCCCAGCGGCAGCGTGTACCCCAGGGAGCTGAAGGTGCCGTCCCTCCTCCCCAGCGGCAGCGTGTACCCCAGGGAGCTGAAGGTGCCGTCCTTCCTCCCCAGCGGCAGTGTGTACCCCAGGGAGCTGAAGGTGCCGTCCTTCCTCCCCAGCGGCAGTGTGTGTCCCAGGGAGCAGAAGGTGCCGTCCTTCCTCCCCAGCGGCAGTGTGTCCTGCAGGAAGCGGAGACAGTCGGTCTCGCTCCCCAGCAGCAGGACAATATATTAAAAGGGGAGACAGTTGGTCCCCCTCTCCAACAGCAGAGAGTGTTCCAGGGAGAGGAACCAGTTATCACCTCTCCCCAGCAACAGGACGAATTATTGAAAGGGGAGACAGTCGGTCTCCCCCTTCAACAGCAGAGAGTGTGTCAGGGAGAGGAGCTTGTTATCCCCTCTCCCCAGCGGCTGAAAGTATGTATGGGAGAGGAGCTTGTTACACCCTCTCCCCAGCGGCAGCTTAGCCCACCAAGGGGAGACAGTGATCTCCACAACAGTGCAGATGGGACAGTAGTCGCTGCACAGGCACCACCGGGGGTAGGGACAGTCGGTCCTGTCACCCAGCAGCAGGACTGTTTAGGCAAAGGGGAGACAGTCTGTCTTCTCCTCCAGCAACCAGGCTCCAACCAGACTGCTCCCATGGTAGTGCTGGCTCCAGGACAGAGTACCGCTGGTCTCTGCCCACTCAGCAACCCACCCAGTACGCTGACCAGTCACCCACACAGCCATGGTGAGGCACCTGGACACGGACAAAGTTCTCTGCTACCCAGGTGTAGTAGCCAGTTATTGTGGGTGGGCTGTATTACGGATTGTGTTTTGTGGGTGGGCTGCTGGACTAACAAGGGCACTGACCGGCAGGAGGTCAGATACCCTGTTAGTCTGATTGGTAAAGGGGAGAAGTGTGGCGAAACCAACCTCGCCACTATGCACTGGAGAAGCCTGGTTGCCAGCCTCCTGCCATCTGACTATGGCCCCTTGTGAATTCGTACTTTTGTATGCAATATTTGGGCATGTGACATTCTTATATTGCTGCTACTGGCCCTTTAAGGGCCATCCGTGAACATATTCTGCCTGTTAGGAATAATGCCTTTTTAAGACTGTGTAGCAAATTGCATTCAGGCTGTATTTAATATTATATGTTCGGTATAAAGTGTTAGGTGAATGCAGCATTCCCCTGATTGTTCGGTAGAATCACTTCATTCATTATATTGGGTGAAACTACCGAACAACCAGACCACCCGGGAGTAAGTGTGCCTCCAATTACCGTTTGCAACAATGTTGCAAACGGGTAATTGGCAATCTGTGTAATGTGTGTTGTGTCCTCTGGGTGGCCGCCATTCGGGAAACGAACACGTGGCGGCGGCCATCTTAAACTCCCGAACAGCGGTGTTTTGCCGTCGAGTGTCTGGAACTAAAATCGGACACTCGACTAAGCAAACACCGCTGAGACCTCCAGACTTCCAGCAATTCGTGCAGAAACTACCGAACGGCCCGCCGTTCGGTAGAAAGGATCCCACGAACAGGGGGATTCATACGAATCCTCCCCAAGCTCTGTAACACAGGCCATTCGTGTGTTTGATTCCCTTTTCTGTGACCGACTGCAGGGCCAAAATACATGGAACTATTTTCGGATACTTTTGCCATGCAGTCGGTCAAAACTTTAACCCTTTATAATTCCTGAACCCCTGGTCCGATCTGGGTGATTTTTGGATATGTGTCTCACCTAGATCAGGGTTACCAGGGGATGTAACATTTAAAGGGGTATTCCTATGTTTAGGGGTACATCCAGTATCCCAGGGAATTTGTGTCTGTACTAATGGGATTATGTGTCACACTAAGGGGAGGAGATGTGTGGGAGGTCACTGGTACCTTATTGGCTGGGGTACTAATTGTTGTGGATCCCTCCCTTGCATGGGAGAATGTCTTAAAAGGAGGCTGTGTGAATAAATCTGTAGATTCTGCTTAACCCTCAAAACGAAGTGTCGTCTCGTTATTGGGGGAATGGGATTGTGTGCTGACTGCCAGGAGTGTAAGCTGTTCGTATTGCTTTTCCTGTTCGGCTGCTTCCAGAGTTCGTGGATTTCTTGTTCGTGAGTTGGGGATTCGTACAGTTTGGAGTTCGGGAGGTTGGTGATTGCAATAGCTGCTGGTCTATGGGAAAGGGGATTATCGCCTAAACGGATTTTATCCCCTTGTGAGAGAAACGGTCCGTTACATAAGGGTCCCTGATACACACTGACACAGAGCAGAATAGGGACTGTTCCTCCTACATAGGGTCACTTGGCAGATATGGATTGACACCTGTCCTAAGGATCCCTGATACACACTGACACAGAGCAAAATAGGGACTGTTACTCCTACATAGGGTCATTTGGCAGATATGGATTGACACCTGTCCTCAGAGCCCCTGATACACACTGACACAGAGCAGAATAGTGACTGTTACCCCTACATAAGTTCACTTGGCAGATATGGCGTGGTCATGGGTGGAGGAATATGACTTTCACCTCTTCCCCTGTTAGATTCCCGTTGTGCTGTGACATCACCCTTATACGCTGTGTAAAGCATACTTTTTAATTTATTTTGCAAATGCTGCATCCTTTCCGACTTGTAATTCGGTAACATTTCCGCCACTGTCTGCTTATACCGGGGGTATAGTAGCGTGGACACCCAGCACAGGTCATTCTCCTTCAGCCGTTTTATATGAGGGTCCCTCAGCAGGCACGACAGCATGAAAGACCCCATTACTCATTTCCCGTTCCTCCTCCTCACACAGACAGAATAGGGACTGTTCCCCCTACACTGGCAGATATGGATTGACACCTGTCCTGTGATACACACTGACACAGAGCAGAATAGGACTGTTCCTCCTACATAGGGTCACTTGGCAGATATGGATTGACACCTGTCCTCAGAGACCTGATACACACTGACACAGAGCAGAATAGAGACTGTTTCCCCTACATAGGGTCACTTGGCAGGATATGGATTGACACCTGTCCTCAAGCCCCTGATACACACTGACACAGAGCAGAATAGAGACTGTTCCCCTACATAGGGTCACTTGGCAGATATGGATTGACACCTGTCCTCAGAGACCATGATACACACTGACACAGAGCAGAATAGAGACTGTTCCTCCTACATAGGGTCACTTGGCAGATATGGATTGACACCTGTCCTCAGAGACCTGATACACACTGACACAGAGCAGAATAGAGACTGTTCCTCCTACATAGGGTCACTTGGCAGATATGGATTGACACCTGTCCTCAGAGACCATGATACACACTGACACAGAGCAGAATAGAGACTGTTCCCCCTACATAGGGTCACTTGGCAGATATGGATTGACACCTGTCCACAGAGCCCCTGATACACACTGACACAGAGCAGAATAGAGACTGTTCCCCCTACATAGGGTCACTTGGCAGATATGGATTGACACCTGTCCACAGAGCCCCTGATACACACTGACACAGAGCAGAATAGGGACTGTTCCTCCTACATAGGGTCACTTTGCAGGTATGGATTGACACCTGTCCTAAGGGTCCCTGATACACACTGACACAGAGCAGAATAGGGACTGTTCCTCCTACATAGGGTCACTTTGCAGATATGGATTGACACCTGTCCTAAGGGTCCCTGATACACACTGACACAGAGCAGAATAGGGACTGTTCCTCCTACATAGGGTCACTTGGAAGATATTGCGTGGTCATGGGTGGAGGAGGATGACTTCCACCTCTCCCCCTGTTAGATTCCCGTTGTGCTGTGACATCACCCTTATACGCTGTGTAAAGCATACTTTTCAATTTATTTTGCAAATGCTGCATCCTTTCATACTTGTTGTAATTCGGTAACATTTCCGCCACTTTCTGCTTATACCGGGGGTCTAGTAGCGTGGACACCCAGTACAGGTCGTTCTCCTTCAGCATTTTTATACGAGGGTCCCTCAACAGGCACGACAGCATGAAAGACCCCATTTGCACAAGGTTGGATGCTGAGCTACTCATTTCCCATTCCTCCTCCTCACACAGAGCAGAATAGGGACTGTTCCCCCTACACTTGGCAGATATGGATTGACACCTGTCCTAAGGATCCCTGATACACACTGACACAGAGCAGAATAGGGACTGTTCCTCCTACATAGGGTCACTTGGCAGATATGGATTGACACCTGTCCTCAGAGACCATGATACACACAGACACAGAGCAGAATGGAGACTGTTCCCCCTACATAGGGTCACTTGGCAGATATGGATTGACACCTGTCCTCAGAGCCCCTGATACACACTGACACAGAGAAGAATAGAGACTGTTCCCCCTACATAGGGTCACTTGGCAGATATGGATTGACACCTGTCCTCAGAGACCATGATACACACTGACACAGAGCAGAATATAGACTGTTCCCCCTACATAGGGTCACTTGGCAGATATGGATTGACACTGTCCACAAGGACAAGCTGCAGGCTTCCTGGCAGGGCCCATACAAGGTGGTAGAGCAGGTTTGTGATACCACCTTTGTGATCGGTGCGGTCACAGGCACGGGAGGCAAGCACATGCTCCATGTGAACATACTGAAGCCATACCACGAGCGCACGGAAGAGGTAACCGCGATCTGTGCACCTGCCACTGAAGATTATGATAATTTGCCACTCCCAGATCTCCTAGACCTAGAGGGCCAGAGCGGAGATGTGGGAGAAGTACAGTTAGGAGAACGGTTAGACCCCTAGGAGTGAACCCAGGTCCAAAGACTAATCCAGGACTAATACCTGGGTACAGTCCGTTAACCACTCACAAAGTTGAAACCCCAGACCAGACCCCCCTTCGCCAAACCGCCTATCGCATACCCGAAGCAGTTAAAGAAAATATGCGGAAAGAAATTGAGGAAATGATGCAGTTAGGGGTGATAGAACACTCTGACAGCCCCTGGGCCTCCCCGGTAGTACTAGTACCGAAACGGGACGGCACGACCCGTTTCTGTGTAGACTACCGGAGGCTAAACGATAAAACAACCTCAGACGCCTTGTCTATGCCCCGGATAGACGAGCTCCTAGACAAAATGGCCAGAGGCCAGTACCTCACCACAATAGATCTGTGCAAGGGGTACTGGCAAATTCCATTAGCCGAGGACGCCATCCACAAGTCGGCATTTGTCACCTCGTTTGGCCTGTATCAGTTTAAGATCATGCCATTCGGGATGAAGAATGCCCCGGCTAACTTTCAGAGGATGGTAGATCGGCTACTGGATGGGTTTCAGGAGTATGCCTGCGCCTACTTGGATGATATAGCCATTTTTAGCTGCTCCTGGCCAGAACACCTGACCCACATAGGAGCCGTACTAGACCGGATTAGGGAGGCCGGACTGACCCTAAAGCCCAGTAAGTGCCATATAGGAACGCGTAAAAACCTCCCCAAGATAGTAGTATGGGCCCCAGAGTGTGAACAGGCCTTCCAACAGCTCAAGACGGCGCTCATTAAATCATCTGTACTTTCTGCTCCTGATCCAACTAAACGCTTTCTCGTCCATACAGACGCTTCTATGTTTGGATTGGGAGCAGTACTGAGCCAAGTCAGAGCAAATGGCGGCGAGCAACCCGGGGCTTATCTAAGCCGGAAACTTTTGCCCAGGGAAGTAGATACACTGCCATTGAAAAGGAATGCCTGGCGGTGGTGTGGGCCCTCAAAAAGCTGCAACCTTACTTGTATGGGCAACCGTTTACCTTACTCACAGATCACAACAAATTTGAGGCACTGCGCGTGCAATCTAATGTGCCACCAGATAGGAGTGGTGTGTTAAGTAGTACTATTCTTATCAGTTTAATCCCTGTTACGTCCCCTATCAGGGGACGTGTCTATGGCATCGATTTTAGGAACCGGGAGATGGAAAAAGATGCTTGGTCGGTCCTCCTTCTTCAAATTTGGGGCACTGCGCGTGCAATCTAATGTGCCACCAGATAGGGGTGGTGTGTTAAGTAGTACTATTCTTATCAGTTTAATCCCTGTTACGTCCCCTATCCGTTGATGTGGAGAAAGACGCAACAGCAGAAGAGGACTCAGCCGAGGAGGTTATGGAAGAGGATGGAGTAGGAGTCGTGGCGCATTCCATGCTTGGCAGCCGTCAGCAGTTTTGCCCAATGCGCAGTGTAGGTGATATACCTGCCCTGACCATGCTTTGCAGACCAGGTATCAGTGGTCAGATGGACACTTGCCCCAACACTGTGTGCCAGACATGCCATTATTTCCTTTTGCACAATCGAGTACAGGTTGGGGATTGCCTTTTGTGAAAATAAATTTCGTCCAGGTACCAGTGATTGAGTGGTGGCACTGGGCACAGTATCCACTGTGAGCCTGACACACCCGCTGGCAGACAACTAACTGCTATTCAATCTATAACAGTGAAAAAAGTTTTTTTTGTTTTTAAATGCAAGCTATTATGACACCAGATATGAGTGGCACTGTAAACTGGCAGAGTACACGCTGTAGGGCTGACACACCCGCTTTAAGGACACTGACTGCTATTCAATCTATAACAGTGAAAAAAGTTTTTTGTTTTTAAATGCAAACTATTGTGACACCAGTGAGTGAGTGGTGGCACTGGGCACAGTATCCACTGTGAGCCTGACACACCCGCTTTGAGACAACTAACTGCTATTCAATCTATAACAGTGAAACAAGTTTTTTGGTTTTAAATGCACGCTATTGTGACACCAGATATGAGTGGCAAAGTACACTGGCAGAGGTCTGCAGAGCACACGCTGAAGGCCTGACACCCGCTTTAAGGACACTGACTGCTATTAGCTTACACTGAAAAACTTTTTTTCTTTGTAAAAGCACGCTATAGAGACACCAGATATGAGTGGCACTGTGAACTGGCAAAGGTTGGCAGAGTACACGTTGTAGGCCTGATACACAGACGCTTGGAGACAACTAACTGCTATTCAATCTATAACAGTGAAAAAAGTTTTTTGTTTTTAAATGCAAGCTATTGTGACACCAGTGAGTGAGTGGTGGCACTGGGCACAGTATCCACTGTGAGCCTGACATACCCGCTTTGAGACAACTAACTGCTATTCAATCTATAACAGTGAAAAAAGTTTTGGGGTTTTAAATGCAAGCTATTGTGACACCAGTGAGTGAGTGGTGGCACTGGGCACAGTATCCACTGTGAGCCTGACATACCCGCTTTGAGACAACTAACTGCTATTCAATCTATAACAGTGAAAAAAGTTTTTGGGGTTTTTAAATGCACGCTATTGTGACACCAGATATGAGTGGCACTGTAAACTGGCAGAGTACACGCTGTAGGGCTGACATACCCGTTTTGAGACAACTAACTGCTATTCAATCTATAACAGTGAAAAAAGTTTTTGGGGTTTTTAAATGCATGCTATTGTGACACCAGTGAGTGAGTGGTGGCACTGGGCACAGTATCCACTGTGAGCCTGACACAGACGCTGGCAGACAACTAACTGCTATTCAATCTATAACAGTGAAAAAAGTTTTTGGTTTTAAATGCAAGCTATTGTGACACCAGTGAGTGAGTGGTGGCACTGGGCACAGTATCCACTGTGAGCCTGACACAGAAGCTGGCAGGCAGGCAACTGCAATTACATTACACAGAAAAAAAAAGCAGACTGATGTTCTAGCCCTAAAAAGGGCTTTTTGGGGTGCTGTCCTTACAGCAGAGATCAGATGAGTCCTTCAGGACTGTAGTGGACACTGTATACCCTAACCTAGCTATGCATTTCCCTATCTAATCAACAGCAGCTACACTTTCCCTCCTCTCACTAAGCATGCAGCTTGAGAATGAATGTAAAATGGATGCCTTCCAGTAGGTGGGAGGGTCTGCTAGGGGGGGTGTGCTGCTAATTGGCTGGAATGTGTCTGCTGACTGTGAGGTACAGGGTCAAAGTTTACTCAATGATGACGAATAGGGGGCGGATCGAACCGCGCATATGTTCGCCCGCTGTGGCGAACGCGAACATGCTATGTTCGCCAGGAACTATTCGCCAGCGAACCGTTCGGTGCATCACTAATCTTCATTAGTCTATGTAGATGTTACATAGTTTTGCATGTTGGACACTGGTACTTGTGACATTACGACAGGGCCATGGATCCTGCAGAACTATGTAAGCATATGATAGCCGGTGAGAGTAGAGTGGAGGATATGGATCACAGGCTAGACCAATGTTAAGACACTCCCGGCATAAGGGAGTGAAACCGCCGCTTAGTAGAGCTTCCCCTTTCAGGGATAGAGGCTCGACTACTTTAGAACCCCAAACTCCGAACCCCGAAGTGGAACCAGGGGAATGCTCCTAACTCCCGAACAGCGTACCAATAATACTTCAAACTCCCGAACGGTAATTCCACGAATCGCTGCTAACAGACGAACAGACACAGCATCCAAGCGGCTTACATTCCCAGCAGTCAGTCTCTATCTGTGTATAGTAGGTAAAACAAGATCTGGCTTTAATGAGGGCTACCTGCCCGTATTTATGCAGGTCTCCCACTTGGTGGACACTCCCCTAGGGGACCAAATGGGAGACTGTAACAAAGGACAGACAGGTATCAGGACACACAGTCACAATACATCCCCACAATGCACCCTGGCTTCCTCCTCTCTGCCCTGGAGATAATTGAGAAGTAATTCAGTTATCTCCCAGGACAAAGGCAAATCGTCATTATGCACGTGGGGACACCAGAATAGAAATTACTGTTAAAATATACAGTGTCACAAATGTCACAATAAATACAGACATATAACATACCCCCAGATAGCTCAGGTCTGTGCGCACATTATTAGGTGAATGGCGCTCAGACCACACAAATACAGTTTAATCGCCATGGAGCCAAAGTCTTTAATTCCACGAACAGGCTCCATGGCATGTTATCTGGGTACCCTCACATGTAATACAATATAAGACATAAAGTCCCGAATGCTCCGCTGTTCAGTTCACGAACGGAGCCGAAGACCCGTAGGCTGGTAGTTTAGCAGTGCTTGGGAGAAAAAGTGTCCGCTTTTGGTGTACTGAGGCTGTCTGGGGGCTTCCATAACACTGCCACCGCGTGGCGGCTATGTGTAACTGCGACCACGCCAGCACACGCCAGCTTCCCGGTGGTCGCGTATTCAGTAGTCTTTCGGGAAACAATACAGGAAAACAGGGGGACTCTACGGGCAAAGAAATAATCGGGAGGAAAAACATAATCCAAAGATAGACGGTTCTGTCACAACCAATTTGCCCAAGCATTCCAGACCTTGCTCCAAAGAATGGCTCATCTTGGATTGCCTCAGGTACAGCCGGTTACTCCGCCATCGGCATCTATAATTTAGAAAGCTCCCTCCATAACCCTTTCTCCTTCTCCTCATTTTGGAGGTGGTCCAATAGTTGGGGACAAACTTTCCGTAATATCCGGCAGTTCCCAAGTTGGCCAACACCTAGGTTTTGGTTCGGAGACAGGGCCAACTAGCTACTGCCTCTAACTTGGCCTGTTCAGGTTTCTGTGCCCCACACCCTCCTGGGCCCCAGGTACTGCACATTGGCCATCCTGAGGTGACACTTGCTCGGATTCAGTGTCAACCCTGCCTCCCTGATTTTCGCACCACATGGTACCCCCAACTCTGCACACGTACTTACCTACCAAGTGACAATCAACCAGAACCAGTGTTTGATGGTTGCTCATTGCGGGTAGGGACTACTAGCAGGAGGCACTGCAGCTCAAAGTCGTGTTGTTTTAAGTCGTGGACTGCTGCTTGCAGCTCCTCTATCTGGCTATTGGAGGTGTATTCCATGATTCCAAGCCGGGCTGACAGGCCTTTCAGGTCCTCCCTTATCGTGGCCACCTCCGCCGAGATTTTGCCGTGATGGGTGGTCATGAGCTCCCTGATGGCTTCCATGGTCACCGGTGTGGGAGTTGGTGCAGGCGGCTGCGGCCTCTCTGGTGGTGGTGGTGCTCCGGCCGGCATGAAGCTTCCCTCTCCTTCATCGGATGTCCCATCTGAAAAATCGGAACATCCTCCGTGCAAGGACGCCATTGTTGCGCCTGCCGCCTTGTGGGCCTGCTTCCACATGTCCCCGATGTTCATGCCGGACAGGGCTTATCGGGCTTTTGTTTTTTAGTTTTTCTACCCATGTGGGTCGGGTGAGTTGTGGGGTCACTCTGGGGGGTGGTTGGGTCGTGTTTGGGTTCAGATGGCAGCAAGTTAAAGCGATTTTAGTTGGGAGCTCCGCAGCCATGTGACCATCCGTGTCAGTTGCAATACTCCGCCTCTTCCGCCGGTCCCTCTCTTGTCCGTGGTTCCTCGGGTGTTGTGGGAGTTCCCCCTTGCTTCTGAGCCAAGACGAAGGCTTGGGTCTCAAAGATGAGCTTCGTCAGGAGTTCCGCCGTGGGAGGCCAAGCGCTGCCTCATCATTCTGGTGAAGGCTTTCCTTGCGGTTTCACACTATGTTGTGAGTTGCCAACGTTCTATTGGTGTGAACATTCCACTGGGTGCCGGGGAGGTCCACATTCAGGAACCGAACGAGGGGGAAGCAATCCACTAATGCTTCCCCTCAATGGCGTTCGTCTAACAAACGGGCTGCCACCCAGGGCAGGCATGTGCCGAGGCTCCCCTAGCATTTTGCAGTTTTGACACCTCATTATGAGTTGCAAATGTTCTAAAACCACATTCTTAATTGGATTTTGTGGTGGTCCCCATTCGGGAAGTGAACGGAGTCCTGTTCGTGGGTGTACTCCCGAACGGGGAGCAGGTAGTTCTACAAACACAACAAAGGAAATACAGGATCAAGATCAAGCATCAAGGGAAAACACACAAAAGGGATGTCAGGGCAGTAACGCACATTGCAGGGTAACCTGGGCAGTTCACAGTTTAGCGGGGTTCCGCTACAGAGCTAGAACGAACCATTGAAATGGCCGAACCAATTGTCCCGAACACGGGAGATGACGAAATACTGTGGGTCTTTCGGTTGAGATTGGCATTGTACGGGCCAAATCCTCCCACAGACATTATCACCCACATATTTATCGCTGTTGAAGCGGAAGCCCATGAGAAACGGCAGTACCAGCTATGTTTGGCAGAAATACAGCAAGCAGGGAGCTGTGGAACATATTACACTACCTGCAGACCAGAAAAAAGTGCCCTTTGCAGCATTTAAAATCTTTCAAGAGGCAGAGGGGGAAATAGACGGCTACCTCGCAGATTTTGAAAGGTAGTGTGCGCTGCACAAGGTACCCACCGAAGAATGGGTCACCATTCTATCTGTCAGGGAGGGCCACTGAAGCCTTTCGGGCTATAACCAACAAGGAGATACACCACTAACATGCAGTAAAGAAAGCTTTGCTTGCCCGGTATGCAGTAACCCCGACGATTTCGGAACTCCAAAAAGCGAGGTGGGGACTCTTACACCGAGTGGGCATGCCGCCTCCACCATACGGCATCCCACTGGGTCGCCAGATGCCAAGCAGTGTTGGGGGAGGATGTACTACAATTGTTCCTTCTAGAGCACTTCTTAAATTGGCTCCAACCCAAACTGCGGGAATGGATCCGTGACCGTCGACCTCTCACTTTGCCCGAAGCTGCTTGCCTGGCTGATGAGTACACTGACTCTAGGCAGATGGAACAAACTACAATGAGACCCCCTTACAAGGTGGTAGAACAGCTATGTGGCACCACCTATGTAATTGCCAGCTGTGCTGATGAGAGGATCCGGAGATCCTTTCATATTAAAATGTTAAAAGAATATCAGGAAAGGCAGGAAGACATAGCAGCCATATGTGCCCCAGCCACAGACGACCCCAACAGTCTTCCCCTACCCGACCTATTGGAGAGGGACCCCTGGGCAGGCTCCACTCAGACATCCCCCTACCGTATCCCTAAAGTGGTCTGTGAAAGAATGCGGGGAGAAATACAGGAAATGTTGAAACTATTAGTCTTTGAACCCTCAGATAGTCCGTGGGCTTCGCCTGTAGTCCTCATACCCAAGAAGAAAACCACCTGGCTCTGTGTGCACTTCCAGTGACTGAACGACTAGACCATGACAGATGCATACCCGATGCCCCAGGTTGATGAACTCTTAGATCGTATCGCCAGGGGACGTTATCTGACCAGCATAGACCTGTGAAAAGGGCTATTTGCAGATCCCCTGGCTGAGGAGGCTATGCCTAAGTTGGCCTTCGTTACCCCGTTTGGCTTGTACCAGTTTAAGGTCATGCCATTCCGGATGAAGAACGCCCCGGCCACCTTTCAGCGCTTTGTGTATTGACTCTTTGATGGCTTCCAGGATTTTGCCTGTGCATACCTGGATGACATTGCAATCTACAGTGAGTCCTGGGAAGAACACTTAGTTCATGTACGGGCAGTGCTGGATCAGATTCAGGCCGCTGGCCTGACTCTGAAGCCAGACAAATGCCAAATGCCACCTGGGCATGGCAGATGTCCAGTATTTGGGTGGGGTGTGGAAAACAGCGACCAGATCCTGCTAAGATTGAAGCAGTCACAAACTGGCCCACACCTCGTACCAAGACACAAGGTATTTGCCTTCCTGGGGACCACCCGATATTATAGACGTTTCGTGCCTCACTACAGTACCATTGCCAAACTACTGATGGACTTGACAAAGAAAAGCTTACCCAGCAGGTCCTGTGGTCTCCCCCATGTGAAGTTACGTTTCAGTCCCTAAAGAAAGCATTACATTTATGCCCCTGTCTTGGCTGCCCCAGTCCCACACAGACTCTTCCATTCACAGTTCTGCTGTGCCTTAGGTTTATGGTTAGCAGGGGCACTGTTTAGTCACCCTGACTTTGACCTCCTCATCTACGTGCCCCGGATGCCGGGATTGTGGACTACTTTATGCTTATCTGCGGGAAGGGGCTCGGAAATTCATGACCTGTGCTATAGCTGCTGGGAGCGTAACAGTTTATGGGTTATGTGTGCCAAAATTCTTCCCACTCAGGCTAGTGCGTCCTCAGTTCCTGTCGTGGAGGGGATAGGTGAACTTGGGAAAACTTGTATAACTGGGATAGGCAATGTCTGTCAGTAAGTAAGTATGAGCTTAATTGTCAGAGTAATGTCCCCCAGAAGGTTAACTTCCCATTCTGGTGTGGCGGTCCGGTAAGTACGTGTGGGTATCGTCTGAAAAAGGTACAGAAGCCATGGGAGAAGATTCATTTTAACAGCATTAATTCTGCCAAACCAGGAAACACATGACGCTCCCCACCTCTGCATATCTGCGCGGAGTGTACCCAGTAGTGGTAGATAGTTATCCTGGTATAGTCTACTCAGGTCCCTTGGTAGCCAGATTCCTAAGTATTTAATGCGGTGCGTGCACCATTTGAAGGGGAAGCTTACCTTAAGCCGTTCGAGTGTATCCGAGTGGCATTGGAGTGGCAGCGCTTCAGACTTGGCTGTGTTCAGCTTAAAGGACCACTATAGTGCCAGGAAAACATACCCGTTTTCCTGGCACTATAGTGCCCTGAGGGTGCCCCCACCCTCAGGGTCCCCCTCCCACCCGGCTCTGGAAGGGGGAAAAGTTGTTAAACTTGCCTTTTTCCAGCGCTGGGCGGGAAGCTCTCCTCCTCCGTTCCGCCCCGTCGGCTGAATGCGCACGCGCGGCAAGAGCTGCGCGCGCATTCAGCCCGTTGCATAGGAAAGCATTTACAATGCTTTCCTATGGATGCTGGCGTGCTCTCACTGTGAAAATCACAGTGAGAAGCACGCAAGCGCCTCTAGTGGCTGTCAATGAGACAGCCACTAGAGGATTAGGGGGAAGGCTTAACCCATTCATAAACATAGCAGTTTCTCGGAAACTGCTATGTTTATAAAAAAATGGGTTAACCCTAGAAGGACCTGGCACCCAGACCACTTCATTAAGCTGAAGTGGTCTGGGTGCCTAGAGTGGTCCTTTAAGATTTGATAGCAGTCCGTATTCCCCGAATGCTCGCAGTAGGTTCGGTATTGTGATTGCTGGATTGTCAATAAAAAACAGCATGTCATCTGGATACGCAGCGACTTTGTGGGTTGTGCCCCCCGCGTCAATTCCCCTGATATCCCCATCCCGTCTGACCGCCGCCAGAAATGGCTCTAGCGTGAGGGCAAACAGGAGGGGGGAGAGGGGACAGCCCTGTCGAGTCCCGTTTTTGATCGTGAGAGGGGCCCACCTACTAGGGCCGTTGATCCGTAGGCGGGCCCTTGGGGCCGCATATATTGCTGCAATCCATGTAAGGAAATGAGGTCCAAAGCCCATGTCTCTCAGGGTCTCCCTCATAAACTGCCAATCCACCCAGCATGTTGAGAGAAGCATGCCTCCCCGGGCGGATTTCCGCGTGGCGTGGATGATGTTAAGCGCCCGCACCGTATTATCCTTGGCTTCACGGCCCGGGATAAACCCTGTCTGATCCGGGTAGACTAGGTCGGTGGCGAGGGCCACACGGAGGGCCAGAACCTTGGTGAATAACTTGATATCCGCGTTGAGCAGGGAGATGGGTCTGTAGCTAGAGCACGCAGCCGGGTCCTTTCCTTCCTTCGGGATGACCGCCACAGTAGCTAGGAGGGTATCGTCGGGGAACCCCCCTGTAACGGCTACCCTGCTGCAGAGGGGGTATCTGCCGTTGGAGACGTCCTTTTCTAGGCAAGCTGCTGTGCAGTAATGGAGTTCTTATTCCCATCCACGATATCCAAGTGTATAATCCGGCAGTGCTGTAAAATGAGGCAGAGTAACGGTACCATAAATCCCCTCCAAGAACGAGACGAGGCTACGTTTTGAAGGGTCAAGTAGAACTGATGTTTATTGACAGGGGTCTCCTTTTATGCAATAGTGCCCTCTGAAAGGCTACACCCACATAATTATCACAACAGCCAATTAGATACATGGTTCAACCCCCACGTCTCCTCCCCTCAGATAACATATAACATAATTAAAACAGACACAATTTTAACTACATTCTGGATGTACCTGAAAAACAGGGGGTACACCTTTAAGTCCAGCTTAATAGCTCTCACTCAGGGGAACAATATATCCAAATTTCAGCCCATTCGGTTGAGGGGTTCGGGAGTTATGGATCTTTGAAGTTTTGACCGACCGCACAGGCTTTCTAGCCGAAAAGAGTTCCATAAGTTTTGGCCTTGCGGTCGGTCTCCGTTCGTGCATTAAAACCCCACGAACCCCTTGCCATCCACAGTCATCCTGGTGTTCGCTTGAATCCCTATGAATGCTTAAACAAAACTACCGAACGACCGGTCGTTCGGTAGTTCCAGCACGAACTTACGAGCTCCTGGAGGTCTCAGCGGTGTTCGCCTGTTTGCGTATCCGTTTTTAGTTCCATGCGTTCACAGGCAAACACCGCCGTTCGTGCGTAAGATGGCCTCCTCCAAGCTCCTCCAGTGTTATGGGGGCCTCCAGCTCCTCGGCTGGGCCTGTGTTAACCTCCGGTGTACGTGGGTTTCCAGGTACTCCCGCGTTCGAACCAACCTCTCCCGGGCTGTCCGAGGTATCTCGGTTGTCGGCAAGTTATACAGTTTGGTATAGAAGTCGTGGAATTCAGCTACAATTTTGTCGGGTCTTCTCTTGGGCTGGGATCCTGCCGTCTGTAGCGTCGTTATCTGAGCTAGTCTATGCTTCTTCTGTAGCATTCTCGCAAGCATTCTGCCGCATTTGTTAGAATGTTCATAGAGATGTCTGCGCGATTTGCGGAGTGTGTGTGTCAATCGTTGGGACAATATTCGTTTCAAGTCTCGGCGTGCCTCAAGTAGCCTCCGATAGGTGTCGTCCGACTGCGTGGTTCTATGATCGTGCTCGAGTTGGGCCGTCCGCGTGTACAGCTCCGCGAGGCGCCGTGGAGTTCCTTTTTGCGGTTGGTACAGGCCTTAATAAAATGACCCCGGATAATTCATTTATGCGCTTCCCATATCGTCAGTGGTGTCACTTCCGGGGTGTGGTTGGTTTCAAAGTAGTGTTTCAGTACCTCTGCTGCTTCCGTGAGAACCAGTGTGTCCCCTAAAATCTGCTCATTGAGCCTCCATTATCGACCGCGTGGTTTGAATAAGGGGGAGTTCATTGTGAGATGTACCGGGGCGTGATCCGACCACAAAGCTGTGTGGATATCGCTGGACTGAAGCAAGTGCAGGAATTCTTGGGCCACCAGAATATAATCTAAACGAAGAGCTTCACGGAAGTGATCAAGCAGCTTGAGGGTTTTGGAGATAAAGCGGTGCTGGCTCGTATTCGGGGCGTAAATTGAGGCGAACGGATATTGCCTGTCAGCAAGTGTGCCATTAATAAACAGGTAGCGTCCGTTCGGGTCCCCCTTCATTTCCAGGCAGCAGAACGGGATGTTTCTGGCAAATAAAATCGCCACCCCTGCCTTTTTTGTGCTTGAGTGATTGGCAGAGTAGCCAGTTGGAAATCTGGAGTCACGTAGCGAGTGGTGATTCGAGCCTTTAAAATGAGTCTCCTGGAGAAACGTAATTGAGGCCCTATTGACCCACAGGGACCGTAGCAGGTGAGACTGCCTCTCAGGGGCATTGAGCCCTCTGACGTTATTGGTCCACAGGCGCAGCAGAGCGGGATGGGACGGAACCCCCCACCTCCCGATGTGCCCTCTGGTCGCACCATCCTGGCGGGGAGGGAGGAGGATTGGAGGGGAAGGGTGGGACAAGTCTAGTCAGTCAAGTGACAAGGTCGTCTGTGGTTGGGATTGGGTTAAGTACTTCGTCCGTGTCCGATGTCAATTTGTGTAGGGACTTGACTGTCTGTTGAGGGTACCTGCCAGGGGTGAGTCCCCCGCCCAATACGTGACACCACCTCGTGTGTCCCTCCGCACTGCCTCCCACAGTCTATCCGCGGGGGTCGCGCGCAGAGTCCGCGCCTGAAGTCGGTCTGTCTCTCTGTGTGTGCAAGGTATGATGTGTCTCGTCTCTGTGTCGCCCTGCACCCGCCCCGGGCAACTAAGTATCTGTGCATACTGTGTCTGTGTACGAACCAGGTATAATGCAAACGATTTACATTTCAACTACCGCCAGCTCCCCGGCCACCAGGGGTCTCCCCGCCCAGGCATCCACCCGTCATCAAAGCCTCGGACCCTGCGGCATCCCTGGGCCCACTCCCACGCTCCCCCAACCCCCGCGGCCCAGGCCCCAGCAGCCCCCTGCCCCCAATGTCCGTTGTTCCCCCGAGTCTCCACATAGTTTCAAGCTCAGCAGTCTCCAGATGGAGGTCTCAGCCCCCTCAATCAAACCAAAGCCCCCAGGGTTCCCCTAACACTACTACTTCCCTGGGGGGGCAGAAGGGGCCAGGGCAGGGGGAAGGAAGGGGGGACAAGAGCGGCCCCAGGAGAAGGGGGGGAGGGCCAGCATGGCCAAGCGGAGGGGGGTTGGGGGGGAGAAGAGGGAACCAGGTCCACTCCTTTTTGCCATGTCCCATGTCCCAGGGCATCACAGCTACAGTCCAGTCAGTCCGGGAGGAGCAAGGGCTATGTACCGCCACCCACCCAACCTCAAAAACTAGACCACTATGGCCAGGCGGGGTCCCCAGTACCAGTCACTTCCAAAGTAGGGCGTCCTATTCTTCAGCCTCGGCGTGTCCTCCCCACAGCCGCGCCGGAGGTTCTCTTGCCTGAGTGGATGCTGGTTTGGCGTCACGGTCAGCGGGTCGCCCTCTTGGAGCCAGCGGGGTCTCCAAGAGCCAGTTCCGGAGGCGCACTGGGGGGATGCGAAGGGTCCTCAGCAGCGGTGGCACGTCATCTGGCCATCGGATCCGCAGCCACGAGCCGCCGTGTCTCACCTGGAGGCTAAAGGGGAATCCCCACCTGTATACGATGTTTCTATCTCTTAGCGCCGCGGTGATTGGTCTGAGTGCACGTCTTGCATCCAAAGTGAGGCTGGACAGGTCCTGAAAAAGAGCTACCTCCGCACCCTGGAACGTGATCGTGTTCGTCCCGCTGGTGGCGGTCATCAGCTGGTCTTTGAGGCTATAGGCATGGAGGCAGCAGAGGACATCTCTCTGCTTCCCGTCATGTCTCTGGGGTCCCAGAGCCCTGTGTATCCTGTCAAAGTAGAGATCCGTGGGGCATCTCTCACCCAGGATCTGCCTGAAGAGGGCTCTCACTGTCTCCTGGAGCGGTGTGGAGTCCGGCTCCGGCAGGCCGCGGATCCTAATATTTTGGCGGCGGCTGCGGTTTTCTAAGTCTTCCACCTGGCGGCGCAGGGTCAGGAGGAGGTTACCCTGGCGGGTGGTCACAAGCTCGGTGGCTCGGTGCTGATTGCGGCACGCCTGTGTTTCTGTCTCCAGCGCCTCCACCCTCACCTCCACTGCCGCCAGGTCTGTGCGCAGAGCGGAGATTTCTTCCCTCACCACCGTCCTAAACTCATGCAGCAGGTTGCCGGTGTCTGCCTTGGTCAGCATCTGGGCAGAGATCTGTGCCATCTCCTGCCTAATTATGGTGAGTGCTTCTCCCCCCTCACTTCCCTCCATAGACTCTCCCGCACTTCCCGCGCTGGGGGAGGTCGGCGCCATCTTGCCTTCATGTCTGGCACCTCGCAGCTCCGCCGGAGTGGAGAGGAAATCATCCAGGGTGCCTGTGGGTCTGCGCGGTGAGCGCTGCTGTGGCGTGCCTGGGAGCTGGGGTCTCTTATTCTGGACCATGATCGTGACAGGTGACTGCTAATTGTTGCGGTTTAGCCGCCCGGGGCGATGAGCTCAGACTCTACCCGTCAGTCTCCATGCACGGTTCGGCCACGCCCCCCTATCCTCCATCTTATCTCATTTCCCCCCTATTCTCCATCTTATCTCACTCTCGTCTCGTGATTGCAGGGAACAGCTATACCTGCTTTATTACCACTTGGATTACTGTTTGGGAATACTACAGCATTACTCACACTAGGGGGAAATTACATCTCTGGCGACGGAAACCCCTCTTCTCTTGGGGTGGCTGTCACAATCTTATCTCACTTTCCCCCTGTCCTCCATCTTATCTCACTTCCCCTATCCTCCATCTGATCTCACTTTCCTCCTATCCTCCATCTTATCTCACTTTCCCCCTATCCTCCATCTTATCTCACTTCCCCTATCCTCCATCTTATCTCAATTCCCCCTATCCTCCATCTGATCTCACTTTCCCCTATCCTCCATCTGATCTCACCTTCCTCCTATCCTCCATCTAATCTCACTTTCCCCTATCCTCCTTCTGATCTCACCTTCCTCCTATCCTCCATCTATCTCACTTTCCCCCTATCCTCCATCTGATCTCACTTTCCCCATCCTCCATCTTATCTCACTTTCCCCCTTATCCTCCATCTTATCTCACTTCCCCATATTCTCCATCTGATCTCACTTTCCCCTATCCTCCATCTGATCTCAATTCCCCCTATCCTCCATCTGATCTCACTTTCCCCTATCCTCCATCTGATCTCACCTTCCTCCTATCCTCCATCTAATCTCACTTTCCCCTATCCTCCTTCTGATCTCACCTTCCCCCTATCCTCCATCTTATCTCACTTTCCCCCTATTCTCCATCTTATCTCACTTTCCCCATATTCTCCATCTTATCTCACTTCCCCCTATCCTCCATTTTATCTCACTTCCCCCTATCCTCCATCTGATCTCACCTTCCCCCATCCTCCATCTAATCTCACTTTCCCCATATCCTCCATCTGATCTCACCTTCCCCCATCCTCCATCTAATCTCACTTTCCCCATATCCTCCATCTGATCTCACCTTCCCCCATCCTCCATCTAATCTCACTTTCCCCATATCCTCCATCTTATCTCACTTCCCCTTATTCTCCATCTTATCTCACTTTCCCCCATCCTCCATCTGATCTCACTTTCACTCTCTCATGTTCCTACTGCTCACTCAATGTTTTTCTTTCTCCCAGGAAGTGATACAGGATTTTCAGGCGTCCGTGCTTCAAGTGTCAGACTCCCCATATGATGAACAGTGAGTAACTACAATGTTGCACCCACAAGAGAATGCCTGTGTATTATACACATCTAACTTCTGCACAGCACCCCGATATAACACCTGTGTATTACACACTGATCACACTCTGTGGACATTTTTTGGTGTTATTTTTAGCAGTATAATTTAAATTAACCACCATGTTCCCTAAAAAATATCAATTATGATGTTACAAAATGAAAAAAGTAAAATTCAACGAAGTGCAGCGAAAGTGTGTTTCTGGTTAACTAAAAATAAATAAATATTGTAGCGGACCCGTGGTAACCCATTTTCCCCCCAGTAACCGGACGACACAAAGTTCCAGGGGTACAACGACACTTTATTGGCCGCATTCGGCTTTATACTTTTCCCCATGCAAGGGGTGGGTCACACACAAAGACAACGTCCCCTCCCAGGGTCAGGGGTCATATAACGAATCTGGAACCTCAGTCCCTTTGTCCTGGACCTGTTTCCGCCCCTCAATGTCCCCTCCTGGGGCCCTCCCCCTCCCAGGGGTCTCCTGACAGAAACGGAACTCCAGTCCCTTTGTCCCCTTTTCCCGCCACCCATCCTTAGGGTTTTCCCACCTCCGATGACCAGGGGGTCTTCATCCCATGAGCCTCTGTACCTGGGAGCCCCAGCGCGGGAAAGCTTCCCACCTCCTGGACTCCCAGTTACAGAAAGCCCACCAAACCGCCATTGTCCTCAAAGAGTGTCCCCACCAATCTGCGGGGTCCCTGAGTGAAACCAGGCAAGTGAAGCATCTCCTTTCAGGACACGAATGCTCCCCCTGGCCACCGCTCATCTAAACGAACGGCGGCCACCCAGGGAAGCACTCATTAATTACTTCCCTTGCGCTTTCACACTTATGTTGCGAGTTGCCAACGTTCTAAGTGATTGGTGCAAACATTCCAAAGGGCACTGGTGAGGTCCTTGTTCGGGAACTGATCCACAAATGCTCTCCCTGGATGGCGTTCGTCTAACGAACAGGCCGCCACCCAGGGAAGTACGCGCTGAGGCTTCCCTTGCAGTTTGTGGTTTTGACACCTCGTTACGAGGTGCGAACGTTCTAAGATAATATTCTAATTGGGGTTTCGTGGTGGTCCCCATTCCGGAGGTGAATGGGTTCCCTTTGTGATGGCACCTCCCGAACGGGGAGCAGGCAGTTTGGAGTGAACACACATAGCCACTACAGGAGCAAGAAAGGGAAAATACCGAAAAGGGAGGGAGAACACATGCCCAAACAGTACACACACAACAGGGAAATCAGAGCAACGCACAGTTTAGCAGCAGGTCCACTACACAGCTCCCCCTTAACCACTAGCTGGCATCCGCAGGCAGATCCCAACGGATCAGCCTGTGGATGTCCGGAGGAAGTACCCATGGATCACTTGTCCAGAGCTGTCTGCCTGGACAACCCGTTACCATTGCCATTCTGATTGCTCAGTCTGTAATAGATGGTAAAGTCATACGGTTGTAGGGCCAGGCTCCACCGTAACAACCTGGCATTGTCCCCAGAGACCCGGGTAAGCCATACCATCGGGTTGTGGTCCATGAACAGTTTAAATGGCTGTCCATAGGGCTGTAGGTTTTTGAGGGCCCACACCATCGTCAGGCACTGCTTTTCGATGGCGGCGTAGCTTACCTCCCTGGGTAATAGCTTCCTGCTGAGGGTGTGCCCCAACTTGGCTCAGTACTGCTCCCAATCCAAACATACACCCTGTTCCAAATTATAATGCAAATTCTATTTAACTGTCACTACGATTAAATATTTTGTTTTTCAGTTTAACTCATGGATGGCATTGTGTCTCAGGGCTCTTTTGATCACTGAAAACAATCTCGGACACCTGTGATAATTAGATTGCCAGGTGAGCCCAATTTAAGGAAAAACTACTAAAGGAGGGTGTTCCACATTATTAAGCAAAGCACCATTTTCATGCAATATGGGGAAGGAAAAGGATCTCTCTGCTGCCGAAAAGAGTGAAATAGTTCAGTGCCTTGGATGAGGTATGAAAACATTAGATATTTCACGAAAACTTAATCGTGATCATCGCACTATTAAGAGATTTGTGGCTGATTCAGAGCACAGACGGGTTCGTGCAGATAAAGGCACATTGAGGAAGATTTCTGCCAGATCCATGCATCGGATCAAGAGAGCAGCTGCTAAAATACCATTACATAGCATACAGATATTTGAAGCTGCTGGTGCCTCTGGGGTCCCACGGACATCAAGGTGTAGAGTCCTCCAGAGTCTTGCAACTATGCATAAACTTTCTATTCAGCCACCACTAACCAATGCTCACAAGCAGAAAGAGCTGCATTGGGCAGAAAAATACATGAAGACTAATTTTCAAACAGTCCTGTTCACTAATGGAACAGGATGTATGGAGTAGTGGATGGTTGGTGGACGGCCACCCTGTTCCAACAAGGCTGCAACATCAGCAAGGCGGTGGTGGAGTTATGTTTTGGGCCGGAATCATGGGAAGAGAGCTGTTTGTCCCCGAAGGTGTAAAGATGACCTCTGCAAAGTATGTGGAGTTTCTTACTGACCACTTTCTTCCCTGGTACAGAAGGAAGAACTATGCTTTCCGTAATAAAATCATCTTCATGCATGTCAATACACCAAGAATACCTCTGCATCAATGGCTGCTATGGGGATAAAAGGAAAGAAAGTCATGGTGTGGCCTCCATCCTCCACTGACCTCAATCCTATTGAGAACCTTTGGCGCATCCTCAAGCAAAAGATCTATGAGGGTGGGAGGCAGTTTACATCCAAACAGCAACTCTGGGAGGCTATTCTGACATCTTGCAAACAAATTCTAGCAGAAACTGTCCAAAAACTCACAAGTTCAATGGATGCAAGACTTGTGAAGCTGCTATCAAATAAGGGGTCCCATGTTAAAATGTAACGTGACCTGTTAAAATGTTTAAAAAGTTAACATGTTGTTATAAGTTTGAATGACATAGCTTTTGGTTTCAGTAAATGTGCTGCAAACACAACAAATGACAATTTTCAGTTCTTTACAACATATAAAGTGTTTTGAAACTTACTGTGCGTAATAATTTGGAACAGTGCATTGTAAGTTTTTTATGTTTAAAAAAAAATACTCTTATCATTAGGATGTTTGTTCAATAAAATTTGAATTGTACTCTTAATAGTTGATAACATGAGAATTATGCTGACTGTTATTTACATCAATTATTTAGGTAAAGGAGAAAAATATCATTTGCATAATAATTTGGAACAGGGTGTAGAGGCATCTGTGTGGACGTGAAAATGTTTCTTGGGATTAGGAGCGGCCAAGACTGGGCATTTACCAGGGCATTCTTAATGGCTTGGAACGTCTTCTCACACTCTGGGGTCCAGGCCACCTGCCGGGATAGGTTCTTGCAGGTCTGGTCATGACAGGTTTAGGTATGGCGCTATAGTTGGGTCAAACTTTCTGTAGTACCCTGCAGTCCCTAGGAAGGCCAGCACTTGGATGTTCGTGGATGAGGCTTACTGGCTACTGCTTCTACCTTGGCCGGTTCAGGTTTCTGTGCCCCACACCCCACCCGGTATCCTAGATACTGCACCTCTGCCATCCCGAGGTGGCATTTGCTCGGTTTTAGGGTCAACCCTGCCTCTCTAATCCGGTCAAGCACAGCTCCTACATGGGCCAGGGGTTCCTCCCAGGTATCGCTCTATATAGCGATGTCGTCCAGGTAGGTGCATGCATAAAACTAGAGGCCCTCCAGTAGCCAGTCCACCATCCTCTGGAGAGTGGCCGGGGCATTCTTCATTCCAAATGGTATTACTCTAAATTTCTACAGGTCGAATGGGGTGACGGAGGCCGACTTAGGAATTGCCTTTGCAGCTAGGGGAATTTGCCAGTACCCTTTGCACAGATCAATGGTGGTGAGGTACCTGCCCCGGGCCATCCTATCTAACAGCTTGTCAATGCATGGCATGGGATAGGCATCCGAGACCATCTTGTCATTGAGCCTCCGGTAGTCCACACAGAACTGGGTGGTCCCATCTTACTTGGGACTCTTGGGCGGTTTAATGATTCCTAAATGGAGTATCTCCCGGATCTCCTGCCTCATGCTCTCCCGTACGGCCTCGGGAATTTGATATGGGCTTTGCTGCAGGAGTTGCTGGTCTGGCCTTTTCCACTAGCGTGGTAACTCCACAGAGGTTGGAGAACATCTCCCTCCTGACAGCCAGCATCCGCAGCGCCTGGCTGCGTTCATCGTGGGTTAGCCGGTCCCCTAATTGGACTTCCTCTATGGACCCTGTCTGAGCTCCCTCCTCCAGGAGGTCAAGCAGGGGAAGATTATCGTAATCTTTTGAAGGCAGGGGCCACATCCTCTGTCCACTCGTGGTAGGGTTTCAGCATGTTAACATGCAATAGGTGTTGGACTCCGGTACCCGAGTAAGGGCCGATCACATTTCCATTCCACTACCCGGTATGCTAGGCAGCCTGTAGCCTGTCATGCTGGATGGATTTTAAAATTAAACCTTCTGTCCCACCTGAAAGCTGCGGCTCCTGGTTCCATTATCATACCATGTGCGCTAACGCCTCTGGGCCGTCTGGAGGTTCCCCCGCACCAAGTGGGTGAGTTCCTCCAGACGGTCTCTAAACTCATTGACATATGGGACGATGGGGGTTCCTCCTTGTTCCCCAGCTATTTCCTGGGAGCCACCAGCTGCTTGGTGGTTGTAGAAGCTGACCCTGGTTTTCTTGTCTCCACTATGCGGTACAGTAGTCCCTGATTCCATCCCTCCCTACCTGACCAGAGGTTGTCAGTGCCCTATAACCCTGAAGAGTGGGGTCTAATATTACCTCCCTTTCAAACTCAGCCGGGGTATCCCAAGGTATGGGGCTCGGGGCAGGAGTAGGTTCACTGGGCACTGAGGGCAAGGGATTTGCACGGGTGGCCCTGGTGTGGGACCAGTAGGGGTCCCAGGGGTAGGGTGGCTAGCACAGGGTTTTTTCTTACGTGGTTGTCTGCGGGGTACCTGGTTGTGGAGGTGGGTATGGGAGCCTACCTGAGCCTCAGAGTGTGAGCCGTCATGGGTGGTGCGGGCTTGTTGACGGGTTATGATGGGGTGAGCTTCTTCAGGAGCCTAGAGATGTACGTAGATGGAGGTGAGATGGCCCAGGTCATTGCAGAGGAGCACCTCCGCGAGTAGCTTGTCCATGAGGCCAACTGTCACCCTTCTGCTCCCGGCGCCCCAGTCGAGGTGGACTTGTGCAGTGGGTAGGCAGTAGATCTCTCCCCCGGCTACTCAGACGGCGATTGTCCCGCCGGTCTTCTGAGTCGCAGGTATGAGTGGGGAGTGGACTAGGGTGAGGGTGGCCACGGTATCCCTCAGACTCTACACAGTGCGTCCGTTCAGCTGTACGGGCTGCCGGTGCTGGTCTCTGTTGTTGTAGTAGGCTTGGAGGGGATTGGCTTCATGGAGACAGGACCAGGTTGCTTAACTGGAGGTTGGAGGATCCATGATGGCAGCCTGGTAACAATGCGCTGCCACTCTCGGGGGGTAGGGAGCCACGGTGTTGATGAACTGGGGTCGCTGTCGATCCTGGGGGCACTCCTGTTTGATGTGCAGAGGCTGGCGTCACTTGAAACAGATCGGCTCGGCCCCAGATGGAGCCTGTGGGGTTATGGTCCTAGCCAGGGGACCATAAGGTGGGAGAGCTGTAACCAGGCTAGGCGGAGGTATGAATCACATTGGGTGGTCGGTAGCTGGTGAGGGAGTAGGGCGTTGGGACCGCCTGGTGTAAGCCTACTCATCGGCCCGTTTGGCGGCTTCAGCGAAGTTCTTGGACTGCCTATCCCTCACCCATTCCTGAGTTTCGGTGGAGAGTTCGTTATAGAAGTGTTCCAGCAGAAACAGCTTGTGATAGACCCTCTGTCCCTGAATTTTAAAGTTTGTGTCTTTTCGCCTAACCTTTCGACCAAGTACATTTATGCCTTATTTCACCATCGTCCATTCGACCAACGAAAGAACTACTGAACGACTGAACACCCAAATGGGGAGTGTGGCGCTTGTTAACCTTATTGACCCCTCTTAACACCTCCAATAACCGCGAACACCTCAACGTTCTAAGTGGTCGACTGGGTGGTCGGTGTTCGTATGCTCGAACACGTGGTGGTGACCATCTTGGAATACGAATGCAGCCAGTGGTGTTTTGTCGTCAAGTGCATGGAACTATAATCGGACACTCGGTTATGAACACCACTAAGACTTCCATGTTCATGGATGTTAGGCACTATAAGTACAAAATGGACGACGTTCAGTAATAATATCTTCCGAACCCCTATGACTATGAGAATGGATGCACAAACAGTTATTTTGTCTATTAACCCTAGTTTAATACTCTGGAAGGAGACCGGCCGCACAGTCTGATTCTATGGAACTATTCTGGGCAGGAGCCTCGTGTGCGGTCCGTCAAACATACAAACTCCATATAAATCCTGAACCCCTGAACCGATATGGGTGATTTTTTTATATATTGTTCCCCCCAGATCTGGGCTATCAGGGGATGTGCTTTTGTTTTGGGGTACTTTCAGATTGTATTAAAATTATGTTCTTTTTTCACCTGAAGATAATTGAGTTAAAGACAGTAGTTGACTTAATTATCTCCCAGGCAGAGTGGAGGGACTGCATGTCCTGTATGGGAGTGTCACACTGTATAACTCTGTTATTATTGGTTGATAATTTTGTATCACTGTCCCCAACAAGATCCACATGGGTGTATCCCTTGGCTGGGGACTTGTATAAAAGGCCAGTCTGGCTACCATTAAAACAGTCTTACTGCACCCTCAATACAGAATCTTGTCTCTTATTGTATGGAACTGCTATATGGCTATCACTACTAGCTCTTGTAAGAGCTTCTCTACTTGGAATGCAGTAACACTCCTCATACATGGGAGAAGGACATCTCTGGTGGTGGAAACCCCTCTACAGTTGGGGTGACCGCTACACAGCTGAAAAATCACCTCGGGGGACTTCGCGTGCTGCGAGTCCACCAAATTCAGGACAGCTCTGTGGATGCGGCATGTCCTTCTCCCCTTTTCTTGTCCCTCTTAACTTCCGCCGGTATGCCTCCGGAGTTATGGCCATACCACTTTCACCGCATCATAGACCCGGATCTGGTCCCCTGGTATTGCTCGGTATGCCTCTGCAGCCCTGATGGTCAGCTTACCAGCCAGGATGGTGACCCAATCTGCAGGACTGACTTCTAGCAGTAGGCACTGCCGTTCAAAATCCTGCAGGAAGTCTTCAATGCCCTCTTTTGCATCCCTGAACTCCATGAAGGCATTATGGGGCAACTTCGGTTTCTGGGCAGAGGTAACCGGACCCTCTCTTGTCCTTTGTTCCTCTGCTTGTGTGGGGGTCTCCCCCTGCGTCTGAGGCAGGACGAAGGCTTAGGTCTCAGAGATGAGCTTGGCCAGGAGTTCCGCTGAGGGAGCCCCTTTGAATAGGGCCAAGCACCCTCTGATTGCTTTGTTGAAGGACTCTTCTTCACCCTCCACACAGTTCCAGGGGTACAACAACACTTTATTGGCCACATTTAGCTTTATACTTTTCCCTATGCAAGGGGTGGATCACACATAAAGGGTTAAATGACCCCTGAGAGGGGGTGGCCCCCACCCCCTCCCAGGCTCCACCCCCTCTCAGGGGTCATTTAACGGATCCGGAACCCCAGTCCTTTTGTCCCATGTTCCTGTCACTCAGTGTCCCCTCCCAGGGCCCTCCCCCTCCCCCCAGTGGTCTCCTGACGGAAACGGACCTCCAGTCCCTGTTCCCGCCACCCATCCTCAGGGATTTCCCACCTCCAGTGACCAGGGGGTCTTCATCTACCTGGGAGCCACAGAGCGGGAAAGCTTCCCGCCTCCTGGACTTCCAGTTACAGAAAGCCCACCAAACCGCCATTGTCCCTAAAGAGTGTCCCCACCAATCTCAGGGACCCCCAGAATGGTAACCTCCATGAACAGCCTCTGTTCGCGGGGTCCCTGGGTGAAACCAGGCAAGGGAAGCATCTCCTTTCGGGACACGAATTCTCTATACAAACTGCAACCACCCAGGGAAGCACTCATTATAGCGGCACTGTCATGCCGAACTTACCTTTCTTTAATCGATTCCTTTTCTCTCCCTCTGTCAGGATCTGTTCTTCATTTCTTCCTATCTGCTCTACTTTTCTTTAAAACATAAGACCAGCAGAGGAGCAAAGTGTGCTTCATTTCCGGTGGTCAGAGAAATTTTCCCACAATTCTTAGCTTTCCTCCCTGTTCCTGCGATGCATGCTGTCAGTATTGCCGAATGTCCTGTCACTTAGGACGCCGGCAAAACTACTGAATTGCGTCCTAACAGAATGAGAACAGTTTCTCCATTCGTGTTAGAACTCAATTCGGGACTTTGTTCGGATCGGAATTTCATTCAAATGAATGAAACTCCGATCTGATTCCTGCCGCGGCTGCATTTTGCAGCCGCTTAGTAGATAGCTCCCTAATACCATGGGAATTAGGGAGCTATCTACCAAAAGGCTGAAAGACCTAAATTGGTCCCAACCCACCGCTCAAGGGTGGGGGCCAAGGGGGGGAGGACAATAGGTCCCCCCTATTACTTAGTATTAGTAAATTCTGCCCCTACTCGCTATACCGCAAGTAGGGGCATGTCTATTAAACAGTGAGCAGCCTGTGGCTGTTCACTGCTAAAAAACAAGCAAACCCTAGTACCCCCCCCGGCCTTAAAGGATAATGAGGGGGGGGACCTATTGTCCTCCCCCCAGCCCCAACCCCTGAACGGTGGGTGGGGGCCATAAATAACAATGGGTGGGGCGGGTGGGGGCCATAAAAGACAAAGACTATTGTCCTCTTCCCCCACCCCTGAGCGGTGGGTGGGGGCCATAAATAACAATGGGGGGGACCCTGAGCGGCGGGTGGGGGCCCTAAATTAAAATGTCCCCCTCCCCCCTTCCAAGGGCACTAGGGGTCCCCAAGCCCCTAGTCACCCCCCCCCCAAAAAAAAATAGTGAGGGGGAAATAAAATAAACTACCTGTAAAAATTAAAAATAAAACTTACCATTTGATGTCTTCTTTTTTCTAAAATCTTCATTTTTCAGACCCAAAAAAGGCCAATTAAAACCATTATACCCGTCTTAATACCCGGACCTGCCCCGCCCTGCAATTAGGCTCAGAACACTCTGATTGGATGGCTCAAAATCCATCCAATCAGAGTGCTCTGTGTCATTTTACACAGCGTGAGAAAATTCCAAAGAACCTTCCCACGCTGTGTAAATTGACTAGCACTCTGATTGGATGGATTTCAAGCCATCCAATCAGAGTGTTCTGAGCCTAATTGCAGGAAGCCTTGCCCCGCCCTGCGGAGCTCAGTCTGTGCCATGCCCTCGCCGGGTGAAGATGGATTAATTTTTTAGCGTCAGGTTTTTTCTTTTTCGTAAGATTTTTTTTTTTGCGCTCAGGTTTTTTATTTTATTTTTTACACGTTCGATGGGTATTATTGTTTTTATTTGGCCTTTTTTGGAGCTGAAAAATTAAGATTTTAGAAAAAAGAAGACATCAAAGTTTTATTTTTTTACATTTAGTTATTTTATTCCCCCCTCACTATTTTTAGAGTGAGGGGGGTAGGTTGGGGATTCTTTTTTTATTTGGGTGGGGGGTGACCAAGGGCTTATATGGCCCCCACCCACTGCTCATGGGTGGGGGCCGGAGGGTTGAAGGACAATAGGTCCCCCCAATTATCATTTATGGCCCCCACCCACTGCTCATGGGTGGGGGCCGGGGGGGAGGACAATATGTTCCCCCCCTCATTATCCTTTAGGGCCCCCACCCGCCGCTCAGGTTGACATGTCCCTACTCGCGGTATAGCGAGTAGGGGCATTCGGGAGATTTTATGAGATTTTATGCTATTATTGGAGTCATATTGACCCCCATAGAGTGAGGGAGGACATGGGGGGCTTAGGAAGTGGCGAGGAGCACTGCTCCTTGCCGCTTCTATCTTTACATTTTACAAGTAGGGAGCTGTGAGCCGGTAGCTCCCTCCTTGTAATAAACGAACGAACACTGATATTCAGTATTTTTTTGTTCGTCTGACATTTCTATTCATTCATTCGTCTTTCTGACGAATGAATGAATAGATAAAATTCCCGTTCGCATGCCCAAGTGTTTAATTGGGCATGTGCGGTGATTTCATAGTGCTACCCACACAAAAATGGCGGCGCCCTAAATATAGGTAGGGGCAGAAAATAAAGATTAAAAAATAGGTAATGTGGGGATCTTAGGGGGTTAGTTAGATGTAGTGGAGTCGGGAGGGGGGTTAAAAAAAATGTGATTCAGCCATGACAGTGCTGCTTTAATTACTTCCCTTGCTGTTTCACACTTATGTTGCAGGTTGCCAACGTTCTAATTGATTGGTGCGAACATTCCAAGGGGCACTGGGGAGGTCCTCATTTGTGAACCGAATGAGGTGGGAAGCAATCCACGAATGCTCCCCCTGGATGGCGTTTGCCTAACGAACGAGCCACCACCTAGGGTAGACATGCGCCAAGGCTTCCCTTGCAGGCTCAGGCACTGAAGGTAGTGGTGTTGTGGAGACAGGCTCAGGCACTGAGGGTAGTGGTGTTGTGGAGACAGGCTCAGGCACTGAGGGTAGTGGTGTTGTGGAGACAGGTTCAGGCACTGATGGTAGTGGTGTTGTGGAGACAGGCTCAGGCACTGAGGGTAGTGGTGTTGTGGAGGCAGGCTCAGGGAAAACAAAAATAGTTGCTTGTGCTAGGAGCACACATATTCTAAACTCCCTACTGGGATTGTCTCTAAAACAAGTCGTTGAGGAGCCAACTCGCAAAGAGGCCATACTAGATTTAGTGTTAACAAATGGAGATTTCGAGGCTATAAATTAGAGGGGCAAAGGTTTAAAAATAATATCAGGAAGTATTACTTTGCTGAGAGGGTAGTGGATGCATGGAATAGCCTTCCAGCTGAAGTGGTAGAGGTTAACACAGTAAATGAGTTTAAGCATGTGTGGGATATGCATAAGGCTATATTAACTATAAGATAAGGCCAGGGACTAATGAAAATATTTAGAAAATTGGGCAGACTAGATGGGCGGTGTTAAGACCTGCAGTGGTTATGGTACGGCGGTCTTCTATTCCTTCTCCAATAGCTGAGCATAAGTGATTATAACTGCAGTAGGAGGTAGAGGAATAGTGTAGATGAATGCAGCTTCCAAGATGATTCTCCCCAGCAAATAGAATATTCCCCAAACATGAGCCTAGACTTCATGAAGGGTGTAACAGGAATGAAATTTATTGATGACACACTGGCTTTTATGATAAATCCTCCTGCAAGAGGACCTCCCACAGTAAACAAAGACAATAACCAATCAAAATACAGCTTTACAGTAACCCCCGCCCTCTCTCTGCCTGGGAGATATTGAGATAAGTTAAGGAATAACCCAATTATCTCCAGGCAGAGGGCACACACTTTTCCCAAAAGTAAGAACACCCCTTTCCACACAAGGTATCCCCACAAATCTGGGGGACCAACATATCCAAATTTCACCCAGATCGGTTCAGGGGTTCTTAAAAAGTATGGAAGTCACAAGTTACCGACCACACACGAGGCTCCTGCCCAAAACAGTTCCACGAATTCAGCGTGTGCGGTCGGTCAATTCAGAAAAAGGCATAAAACGAATAAAAGTCCCAAATGGATCCTCCTGGCTCATAGAAGCGATTGCTCCCCTTGTCCGTATGAACAAAACTACCGAATGGCGCTCTCCTGGCTGTCCCGCAACTAAAGGAAGCAGGCGTTCGGTAGTTTCAGCAGTGATTCGGGAGTAGAGTGTCCGATTTTAGTTCCAGACACTCGACGACCAAGTCCCGCTGCCTCCTTTCATGCAAACAAGATGGCCGCTGTTTTCTGTTCCACGTGGCATTCGGCTATACGAAAAGCGGCCGCCCAGAGAGCGCTTAATAGATGGTTCTTTTGAAGTTAATGAGCCAGGAGGGTGGTCGGTGTTCGGTAGTTTTAAACTACCGAACCAATAGATTCAACATGCACAAAATACTGCAGAAAAAGCCCGAACATAGGAGAAAATACAGAACTAAGTCTATTTTCTTCACAGGCCGAATGGTTCTTATCTGCCGTCATATTCTATGTTTCTTTGTTTGTGGTTTTGACACATTGTTACGAGGTGCGAACGTTCTAAGACAACATTGTAATTGGGGTTTCGTCATGGTTCCCGTTCGGGAGGTGAATGGATTCCCTTCGTGACGGCACCCCCCGAACGGGGAGCAGGCAGTTTTGGGCGAACACACATAGCAACTACAGGAGCAATATAGGAAAAATACTGAAAACATATGGCCAAACAGTACACAAACAACAGGGAAATCAGGGCAATGCACAGTTAAGCGGCATCAGGGCAATGCACAATATAAACGGGTCCTTTTGGTCCTCTTCTCGGAGGCTGTCTTATACACACAAGTCATTTGTGGTGTGGGTAAATAACTGAAGGGGCTGGCCTTGAACAGACCTCTTTTCCTGTGCGGGGTTTCATTTTCCATAGTGAGTCCATGTCATAGAATGTTGTCTTACACACCCAGTATAATTGCAGCCACACGTTTCACATTGTCTTCTTATTCATTTACTGCTGTGGAGAAATGGATGGGAGATTATTGGGCAGCCCTCCTCCAGTTGATTGAGGGTCTTCCAGACGTCTCATACATTTACTTATCCCTATGTGATGGTTGGCTCCATCTCTGGACTTTTTCAGGGAATTTGAGCCATTTTTGAATGATATATTTTGTAAATTGTTGTGTAAAATTCTGAGGATAGTAAAGTTAGTAAATCTCCCCCAGATTGCTGCCTCTGATTTGCTCAGAATTTCTATTCACAAACATGTGTAGCTAGTGAATTATGTTATGTGTTACAAAACCACAGGCAGGACAAGTGGATGCCCAAAACAGAGTCCTCCCATACCGCAAAACAAGGCTGTGTGTTTACATTCCAAAGTAAGGGAACCCAGGCTGCATGTTACCCCCATGTGCCCTTAATTCATATTGCTCTCTGTGTGACAGATACCATGTCCTCACCCTAGGGTGGCTGCCCAGATGCCCACAGTCCACTATGAGATGCCCAACGGATATAATACAGATTATGGAGCTGAGAGACTGCGAATCCCTGAGGGGCTGTTTGACCCATCCAATGTTAAGGTGTCCATACCTCTCTATTACTGACCCAATCCCCCTCCTATTACTGACCCAATCTCTCATCTGACCCAATCCCCCCTCCTATCACTGACCCAATCTCCATCCTATTACTGACCCAATCCCTCATCTCATCCAATCTCCCCTCCTATTACTGACTTAATCCCCCTCCTATTACTGACCCAATCCCCCTCCTATTACTGATCCAATCCGTCATCTGATCCAATCCCCCCTCCTATTACTGACTCAATCTCCATCCTATTACTGACCAAATCCCCCCCTATTACTGATCCAATCCCTCATCTCATCCAATCCCCCTCCTATTACTGATCCAATCCCTCATCTGAACCAATCCCCCTCCTATTACTGACCCAACCCCTCATCTGATCCAATCCCCTCCTATTACTGATCCAATCCCCCTCCTATTACTGATCCAATCCCTCATCTGATCCAATCCCCCTCCTATAACTGACCAACTCTCCCTCATATTACTGATTCAACCCCTCTTCTATTACTGATCCAATCCCCCTCCTATTACTGACCCAATCCCTCATATGATCCAAAACCCCTCCTGTGACGAAGTGTCCTTCGCCACTTGTGCCTGGAGGGGACTACTGGCTAGCCTCCTGCCTTCCGACTATGGCTCCTGTGCTGATAGCTGTATTTTCCCCTGCAGAAAGGTTTATTTGTGTATTTCTGCCGGGGCGTTCAGTACTTTCAGTAGTGCTACCCCAGATAGCTATGCTATGGAGCCTATTCGTGTAACGAAAGACTATGGAAAAGACTTTGGCTCCATGGCGATTGAACTGTATGTATGTGATCTGAGCGCCATTCGGTAATAATGTGCACTCAGATCTAAGCTATCTGGGGATATGTTGCATGTATAGGTTTTATGTAGTAATTGTAACATTGTGTAATTTTATGTCTTTTTGTAACCATGTGGTTAATGGAGTCTTGCCTCTGTCCTGGGAGATAATTTGATTACTTCCCAATTATCTCCAGGATAGAGAGGAGGGATTGTGATGTCACTGTGGGAGTGTTTTGTTTGTATTGTCTGTGATTGGCTAATATCCAATATGTGTCCCATTGTTCCATCAGGTCCCCTAGGGGAGTGTCCACCTGGTGGACACTTGCATAAATACCGGGCAGGTAGCCCTCAATAAAGCAGACCTACTTGCACCTTTCTTGAAGCCTTGGCTCATGCTTGGGGGAAGGGATACCTACACTCTGGGGATTGCTATAATCACTTTCTCCCCAGAGTAAGCTCTTGTAAGAGCTTGATTTGTTCCTGCTACGCTCTCTGGATTTAGGAGAGGTTCACCCACTAGGAGCTGGATCCTGGTCATGAATCCACAGCGGGTGAGAGACGGCGAGACCCTGGCGCAGCTGCAGCGGCTGGAAGTGGGGTCCGCAGTGCTGATGGTGTCAGGTGGAGTGCTCAGAGTCCTCGGCAAGCGTAAGGAGCATCGATTGGCGGAGGTACTTGGTCGGAGTGCCAGCGGTCCGTCACATTTGGTGGCAGTGGTGGTATGGCATCCTAGTGCGAGGACCAGCAGCTCGGAGACACTGGTAAGGTGTGGAGTTACAGATTTATAATTGAGGGCAACGCTAGCACTCGTGCAGCGCCCCTATCTACAGAGGAACTCAGGAGAATGGAGCGACCTAGCAACCGTGCAGCGTCCCCATGTGAGGAGGAGTTTCTTTGGAGGTCGCAGCAACACTTGGCCCAACAGGGTGGGCCTGTATCAGAGGAGGGCATACTGGACTGGAGAGATGCCACTCGAAAGGATCTGTGGTATGAGGCCTTATAAGGGGGTACAACAGCGGCGGAGAGAGAGCCTTCCCAGTGAGTAACAGTGGTTCCAGGTACTTGTGGACCTGCAGTCACCTTTCCTAGGGGAGCAACCCCTGGATGAGTGGGTAATGGAACTGTGGGGCCTGATTTGGAAGGAGTTGTGGCTGGATGGAGCTTACCGGGCACTAAAGTGGTACACCACCCAGCGCAACCCTTGGATGACTAACCACTATCTGCCGGAAGGAGACGATTATAATGGCCCGGGCTTATTGTGGGATGCCTTTGAGAAGGGCAATGACTTTGGATGCCCAGCAGAATGTTAGCTCTGGGACATCCACAACATCAGGGAAACTCTGCTGGATCTTCCCCGAGTGGACGACCTGGGGCCAGACCTGATTCATCTGGTCACAATGGAGTGGGAGCTGGAGCAGAGCTACCAACATCTGTTCAGCTTAGCACAGCAACCAAGTATACTACCAGGAGTAGGGACAATCGGTCCTGCTCCCCAGCGGCAGTATACTTTGCAGGGAGAGGAGACAACCAGTCTCCCTCCCCCTTGGAGGCCTGAGTTCCAGGAGGAGGTGATGTTCGATTCCTCCACTGTACAGCAGCCAGCGTCCTGGGGAGGGGAGGCAACCGGCCTCTGTCTCCAACAGCAGCCAGAGGTACCAGAGGTGAGGGACCTCATAGACTTGGCCTGGGAAGACCCACAGATGGCAGGCGGAGATGGGACCAAGGTCTCTCTTCCGGCCCTACAGGGATGCAGGGCAGCCGGCAGCAGTATACTTTGCCGGGAGAGGAGACAACCGGTGTCTATCCCCTGCAGAGGCATGAATTCCAGGAGGAGGTGATGGTCAATCCCTCCACCTTACAGCAACTAGCGTCCTGGGGAGTGCGGGCAACCGACCTCCCCCAACAACAGCAGCCGGAGATACCGGGAGAGGGGTAAGAAAACCCTAACCACACTGGCGCAGATAGGACCGCGGTCTCTGTGCCAGTCCTACAGGGATGCTGGATGGGCGGTCCAGATCCCCAACCAACCCCGCAGGGATGCCAGGAGAAGGAGGTAAGCGAAACTTCCCCTCCCCAGCTACATCCCAACCAGGTCCTGGGGGCAATGGATGAGCCAGCGATAACCACTGACCCCCTCCCAGCAGCAAAGCTGGCATCCCTGGCATCCATGCCCTCCCTTTTCCCCTGGTTCAGAGCCTGATTTACCACGGGTTACCCCAGCGGAAGAGCTGGCAGCAGGGCAGAGCGCCGCTGGCCTTTGCCCCCCAAGCAACACCAGCAGTTTGCCTAGCTGCACCAGAGGGACCAAGAGTGCTGCGCTGTCCCACTACAAACTTGAACCTACAGGCCAGTACCATTTATTGTGGGGGGTTACTCTGCGTATTTTTCTTTGTGGGTGGGCTGCCCGACTAACCTAGGTACTGACCGGCAGAAGGTCAGGTACCTGTTTAGTCTTCCCCCCCAAAGGGAAGATGTGTGACGAAGTGCCCTTCGCCACTTGTGCCTGGAGGGGACTACTGGCTAGCCTCCTGCCTTCCGACTATGGCCCCTGTGCTGATAGCTGTATTTTACACTGCAGAAAGGTTTATTTGTGTATTTCTGCCGGGGTGTTCAGGACTTTCAGTATGTGAGTAGTGCTACCCCAGATAGCTATGCCATGGAGCCTATTCGTGTAACGAAAGACTATGGAAAAGACTTTGGCTCCAATGGCGATTGAACTATATGTTTGTGATCAGAGCGCCATTCGGTAATAATGTGCACTCAGATCTAAGCTATATGGGGATATGTTGCATGTATAGGTTTTATGTAGTAATTGTAACATTGTGTAATTTTATGTATTTTTGTAACCATGTAGTTAATGGAGTTTTGCCTCTGTCCAAACCCCCTCCTATTACTGACCCAATCCCCCTCCTATTACTGATCCAATCTCATTCCTATTTCTGACCCAATCCCCCTCCTATTACTGACCCAATCCCTCATCTGATCCAATCCCCCACCTGTTACTGACCCAATCCCCCACCTGTTACTGACCCAATCCCCATCCTATTACCGATCCAATCTCCCTTCTATTACTGACCAAATCTCCCTCCTATTACTGACCCAATCCTTCTCCTATTACTGACTCAATTTGTTACAATTTTATTGTCCCTGTTATTGATCCTTTTATTGTCCCTCTGTTACTGACCCCCTGTTACTGTCCTCTTTAATGTCCCCACTCTTTATTTGCTCCCTGTTACTGACCCCTTTATTGTCCCCCCCTTTCTCCCCCGTTACTGACCCAAATAACCCTCCTCTCCATTTGGGTGAATATATTGACTTTCTGCTTTTCTCAGGGCCTTTCAGGTAACACCATGCTGGGTGTCGGCCACGTTGTCACCAGTAGCATCGGAATGTGTGATATAGACATCCGGCCTGTGAGTGTCTCCTATATTCTCCTGGAATGCACAGTGTAAAATAAAAATAGAGTCAACAGCACAAGTAGTAATGGGGGAGAGAATATGAGGCATAATGGGCAATATCAGGACTGTTGGTAACTGGGGAGAGGCCATGGTAAATAGATTCTCAGGAACACTGAATAGTGCATGGGGTTGGGGGTGGCTAGATTCCTAGGACATGGTGTAGTGGAGGGGTTATTTGGAACATGGAGAAGTTGGGAGGGGGAGATTCCTGGGAGATGGTGTAGTGGGGGGGGTGGGGGGGTTCTCTGGAACATGGAGAAGTGAGGAGAGGGAGATTCCTAGGACCTGGTGTAGGTGGAAGGAGGGGCTAGATTCCAAGCACATGGTGTAGTGGATGGGTTCTTTGGAACATGGAGAAGTGGAGAGGGTGAGATTCCTAGGAAATGGTGTAGTGGGGTTTTTGTTTGGAACATGGAGAAGTAGGGAGGGGGAGGTTTATAGGACATGGTTGTAGCAGAATGGACTCTCTTAATATACTTTTATCCTGTTGTTCGTCTGTCCATACACCCTCGTTCATTTACCGAACCCCCATCTTTGTGGTCCCCTTGTTTGCACCTTTTAACAACCGACCACCGCTGGCTGTTAACCTCAAATTGCTCATTAAAGAAAGTGTTTCACCGGTGTGGCCACTGTTCGTATAACTGAACACGTGTTCAAACAATTTGCGGCCATTTTGTCTCCCAAACGCGGGCAGCGGTACATGGTCGTCGCCGGCGTGGAACTCTTTTCAGCTACACGACCCTGCAAACACCTGGTAAACTGGTACCGCTGCCCATCCAACTTCCCGAACCGTTATGAGAACTGCATTCGGGAGGCATGAACTACCGAGCAGGGGGAACATTTGTACACTAACAGCCTGGGGGACCATTCGTCACTGTTCGTGCGAGAAACCCAGAAAGATGACCGGTCTTTGCCTTGTTTCCTCTGGAACTGTTTTGGGGTATCACCTCATGGTGTTCTCAGATCCAAGCTATTCAATGGTATGACTTTTTCATTGGGTTCTGAAGTATTAAAATCTATTTTTGGGGTGTTTTTAAATATTGTAGATTTTTCTGTACCTGAGAGACAATTGAGTTATAGATTTTTCTTACACAATTTTCTCTCAGGCCCAGAGGATCTTGGGAGGAAAAGCCCTGTATTTTTGTATAAGAGACCCCATGTAGGGGTCTGTGCATAAAAAGCCAAAATAATATCAGTTGACTCCCAGAACTATGTGTCGTCAGATTGATGGGGAGAAAGAGTCTTGGAGTATTACACTGTTTCTTTTAGCTCAGAGGACTGAACAGCGGAGATACCTATGCTAGGTATTGGAGCTCCTTTGAGCACTAACCCTGGGCCACCAGCACAGCAAGTACTAGGACCCATCTCCAACCCCCAAGCCACTCGATACCCAGCGCGCAGCGGAATACAGTGCCATCTGTGCAAGCAATTCTGGCACTATCAGAGGAACTGTACCCAGAGCAGGAACCAATCTGCGTGGATCCGACGAGAACCATCCCCTCCAGCACGGGCAGCTGCCCACTATTATCATACAAAGGTCGCCTCCCGGATGCACCCCTGGATCTGAAGAACAATGGGGTACCCTGCACGAGACCGACCCAGTGCAGGCTGCTACTGACAACTGGCAACACCATCGCCAGTCAGTGGAGCTGAACTGAAGAGCAGCTCAAGGCCTGTGAGATACAGTAGCCACCCTCACATTGGTCAAGCATCACCTGGATCCAGATGCAGACCGAACCGGTCCGTAGCTGTGCGGGTAGCCGGGGGAGAAGTACACCGGCTACCTACTGCGAGAGTTCACCTGAATTCTGGTGCTGGCTCGGGTTTATTTGATGTGGGGCTGATGCAGGAACTCCCCGCTGACGTCTTGCTGGGGAACGATTTCGGCCAGTTGACCCCAGCATTTCTACCATCCCAGGTCACCAACGAGACCTACCCAATCACCACCAGGTCCCAGGCTCATACCATGGAGAATCACTTGCACTCTGAGCTCCAGGTAGAAAACATTCCCAAACCGTTGCACCTCTCCTCTGGGATACCCCCACAGAATTTGGGCAGAAAAACCTTAGTGAGCCCACGTTGCAGGTCTACAGGGATAAAGTGACCCATTCACAGGCAGGAATAGAGGGAGAGTGATACTCCTGGCACCAGTCATACTGTACCGCGACTCAAAGGGTCTTGGCCGATTCCATATCGGTCCCCACCCGACAACTAGTTGTCCCCCAGAAGAATAGGAGACAGTTACTGCAGATAGCGCACTTAGGGGTCAGTCGCACTAGATCTCGGTTTACCCACACCTTCTTTTGGCCAGGCATCTCCAAAGATGTTCGACAGTACTGCCAAACTTGTGACACATGTCAAAGGGTAGGGAAGCGAGGAGATCGCCACAAGACCAAGTTACAACCCTTATCCATCATAGAGGTACCATTTGGACGAGTAGCCATAGACATTATAGGACCCCTATCAAAATCCAGCCCGTCCTACAAAAGTTACATTCAGACCATAGTCGACTATGCGACCCGGTTTTCAGAGGCTGTGTGTAGTGGAATGGGCCTTGGGACGGTACCCTTATGCCTGCTCTCGGCTGTCCATGCCGGTTTTCCCCCTCCCCGTTGTCCCCTATGTTTGGGGCTTGTAGTCCCTGTGTGGGACAGATCTCCCTATTATTGAACCACCATGCTTTTCCTCTGTTTTGCCTGGCCGTTCATTAAATACCGTTCTCCTGATTTGCTACCACTGTTCTGGTCAACAACTGAACAAACTACCGAGATGTGGAGTGTGCCGCTCATTAACATCAATAACCCCGTTCACACCTCCACAAACCGCAACTACATGAATGTTCCAAGCTTTCAACTGGGTGGCCCCCGTTTGTATGTATGAACACGTTGCGGCCATCTTAGAATACGAACAGAGACAGCGGTATTTGGTTGTCGAGTGTATGGAACTAAAATCGGCCACTCGACGGCGCGAACACCGCTGGGACTTCCACTTTCTGTTACATACGTGGAGATCCATGCGAACAGAGTGGCGTTCAGGGGGTGCAAACTCCTGAACTAGATACTTATACGAACATATACACAAACAGGTTTTTTTTGTAATAGTTTCATGTATTTTTTTTACTCCTGAGCTGACCGACCGCACAGCCTATTTTCATAGAACCTTTTTGGGCAGGCGCCTTGTGTGCGGTCAGTCTAAACTATACCCCGGTGGTGTTTCGGGCTGCGTTCGTGGGATCTGAGCACTATTTGGCTATATCGGGTGCTCAGACCCAGGTTATCCGGGTATATAGTACCTTGGGTGTACCTTGTGGGGAAATGTATATTTTGGGGTGATAAAGATTATACATGTCCTGGACCTGAGAGGTAATGTAATTATATTGTGTACTTTGCTTCAGTCTACTCTCAGGTCCAGTGGGGAATGCCCCTGGGATATGTATCTGGAAACCCCTTGCATGGGGATTCTCATAAAAGGCCAGCTGTTGCTCCATTAAAATCAGTTATACCCCCAGAGCTGAGTGTCATCCAGTTGCTGGAGAGGTGGTATGACAGGGGAGACAGGGGGCGTAGCTTTCAGATTGGCCAAAAGGTTCTGATTTTACAACCTGTTCGTCACAAAAAGCTACAGGCCACCTGGCAGGGTCCATACCAAGTGGTGGAACAGAGATGCTCTGGTAGTGGGGGGAGATGCTTGCTCCACGTGAACATGCTCAAACCCTTGGGAGGATGGAGGATGTGGCAGCAATATGTGCATCTGTCTCTGATGATTGAGAATCTTCCCCTACCAGACCTCCTGGTGGAAGATCAGATGAGCTAGGAGAATGGCTAAGCACTCAAGAACGTATCCAGGTACGACAATTGCCGGCCATGAATGGAGTATCGTTTTCGAATGTACCTGGGTACACTCTGCTGGCCACCCACTAAGTAGACACCTCTAAACATCTGCCTCTCAGACAGACCCCCTATAGAATCCCTGAGGCTGTCAGGGAACACATAAGACAGGAGATCTAAGAGATGCTCCGTCTCAGGGTTATAGAAGCGTCTGATAGTCCTTCAGCTTCTCCAGTAGTCTTGGTCCCGAAGCAGGATGTAACTACCTGCTTCTGTGTAGATTACCAGAGATTCAATGACAAAACAGTATCTTACTCCATGCCCAAGATAGACAAGCTCTTAGATCGGATGGCCAGAGGTCAGTACCTTATGACCATCGATCTGTGTAAGAGCTATTGGCAGATTCCCCTAGCCCAAGATGCCATTCCCAAGTCGGCCTTTGTCACCCTGTTTGGCCTGCACCAGTTTAAGGTCATGCCATTTGGGATGAAAAACGCCCCATCCACGTTCCAACATATGGTGGACCAGCTGCTCGATGGCTTCCAAGATTATGCTTGTGCATACTTGGATGACATCACAATTTTTAGGAGCATTTAGGGCATATGGGAGTGGTGCTAGACTGCATTAGAGAGGCTGGCTTGATCCTCAAGCCGAGGAAATGCCATAATGGAATGGCAGAAGTCCAGTACTTGGGAAACCGGGTGGGGTATGGGAAAGAGAAGCCCGAACCGACCAAGGTTAAGGCCGTAGCCCAGTGGCCCACCCCCGTACCAAAACCCACAACACTGATCCCCCTTAACCACAACCCGAAATACACAGTCTGATCCTTAACGAATCGGCTTGGGGCTGTCCAGGGAGTACTCACGGATGACTTTTCCAGTTCAGTTTGTCGAGATAACCCATCGGCATTGCCATTCTGTTTCCTGGGCGGTAGTGGATAATAAAGTCATACGGTTGTAACACCAAACACCAGCGCAACAACCGGGCATTGTCCCCCGCCACTCGGTTTAGCCATACCAACAGGTTGTGATTCATTCATTTTCGTATAGGAGACCCCATGTTGGGGTCTGTACATAAAAGCCGTGTGTGGCCAAAATAAAATCAGTTGACTACTAGAACTATGTGTCATTTAGTTGCTGCGGGGAAAGAGTCTTGGAGTATTACACTGTTTCTTTTAGCTGTGAGGATTGAACAGCGCAGACACCTATGCTAGGTATTGGAGCTCCGCTACAATTGTGTAGTGGAGGGTGGGGGGTCTTTGGAACATGGAGAAGTGAGGAGGTGGTGATTCCTAGGACATGGAGCAGTAGAGGGGTTCTTTGGAACATGGAGAAGTAGGGAGGGGAAGATTCCTAGGATATGAAGCAGTAAGGGGAGGATTTCTAGGTAGGGATATGGATGGAGAGGAATATGGAGTAGTGGGTAATTCTTAGGAACACGGAGTAATGAGAGATTCCCATAAACATGGAGTAGTGGGGGGTAGGGTGTCTGGTGTTATTGGTTACCCAGTATGGTTTTTCCACTAACTTATCTTTCCTGTCTCCTTAGGGACTCTATGGCGGTGTCATTATCACTGGTGGTAACACTTTACTCCAGGGGTTTAATGACCGTTTGAACCGTGAGCTTTCCCAGAAAACACCCCCGGTGAGAAATCAAAAAACAGGAATTGGATTTTCACCTTACATTTCCCCTCAGCACCCAGGGACATGTATGTTCTGTCCCACATGTTATTCCAGTACCTAGGGTGGATGGTATTTCTTATTACTTGGATAGAGGTTTATTTCATCCATGTAACACATGAGACCCATGTCTCACTCTCTTCTAAACCGTCTTTCTCTCCTTTCTTTCTTCTCTCTTCACAGACCGTCATTTAAATTTCCATTTATTTACACAGTAATTACTGCAAATCTGCTCTGTGTAATGCGTCATTAGAGAATACATCATTTTTTTTCTGTGTAACCCCACAATGCTCCCTTCCTACATCATACTGGCCCCTTAAAACCTTTATCCTAACCCACCCTCCCCCATTTACATCATACCAGCACCTTTAAACATTTTTTTCTAACCCACCCACCCCCATTCTACATCATACCGGCGATTTTAAACCTTTATCCTAACCTACCCTCCTCCATTCTACATCATACCGCCCCTTTTAACCTTTATCCTAACCCACTCTCCCCCAAGCTACATCATTCCGGCCCCATAAATTCTTTATCCTAACCCACCCTCCCCCATTCTACATCATATCGGCCCCATCAAACCTTTATTCTAACCCAACCTCCCCCTTTCTATATCATATCGGCCCCATTAAGCCTTTATTCTAACCCACCCTCCCCCATTCTACATCATACTGGCCTCTTTAAACCTTTATCCTAACCAACCCTCCTGCATTCTACATCATACCGGCCCCTTTAAACCGTTATCCTAACCTACCCTCCCCTATTCTTCATAATATCGGCCCCTTTAAACCTTTATCCTAACCCACCTCCCCATTCTACATCATACCGGCGCCTTTAAACCTTTATCCTAACCCACCCTGCCCCATTTAACATCATACCGGCAACTTTAAACCTTTATCCTAACCCACCCTCCCCCATTCTACATCATACCGGCCCCTTTAAACCTTTATCCTAACCCACCATTCTACATCATACATGTCCCTTTAAATCTTTATCCTAACCCACTCTCCCCTTCCCTCCCCATCCTACATCATAACTCCCTTTTTAAACCCTTATCCTAACCATTCCTTCCCATCCTATATCATACGTGTCCCTGTAAATCTTTATTTGCATTCTCTTTTCCCATCATACAATCCTTGCTCCCCTCTAACCCTCAGCTTCGCCCCTCTTTGTCTCAGAGTATGCGTCTGAAACTCCTTGCCAGTAACAGCTCTATCGAACGTCGCTTCAGTTCCTGGATTGGTGGCTCCATTCTGGCCTCTCTGGTATGTAATTAATAGTTATCCATATAGATACAGACACAGATACACATATAGATACATATATGGACACACAGATAACAAATACATACAGACAAACAGATATACATACAGACACAAATACACAGACACAGATAAATACACAGATGCAAATTCAGACAGATACATATGCACTTTCCACAGATGTTTGCCACGTACTCCTGGAGGAGTGTGGAAGCTGGCCTCCTGCCCACCGACTATGGGCCAGGTCAGCGACTGTAAAGATCCTTATTTTATTCCCCCTGGTTCCGCTAGTTCAGCGCTTTCTATTCTTGCGCATAGAACTGAACACTAGCTCCCCCGCAGCCGTTTTCATTGACCAAAACTGTGAGTAAACTTCAGGGGGAGTTAGCTGCGAATGCCCTTCGGCACGAAGATTGTGCGGTTCCAGGTCGGTCCCCAAATGACACTTAGCTGCGATTCTATGATACTATTTTCGGCTAGGGGACCGTGCGGTCGGTCAAATTATGACTTCCAGGAAAATCCTGAACTCCTTAACCGATCTGGATGATTTTTGGATATGTTGGTCACCCAGATCAGGGCTATCAGGGGAGATAATTAAGTTTTGTACAGTTTCTGACTTAATTATCTCCCAGATACAGAGGAGGGATTAACCTATTTTGTGTGGGAGTGTCCTGGACCTGAGAGCCAATGTAAACGTGAGTAGTATTTTAATGTTGTATACTCTCAAGTCCAGGGGGGAGTGCCCATTGCATGGGGACCTGCATATAAGGCCAGTTGTGGCTAACAATAAATGAGTTCCTACTTACCCTCAACATAGAGTCTATATACCAGCTATAATCACCAGCTCTTGTAAAAGTACTTGCTATACTCTCTTGGAGGAGAGGTCTTCTCATTGGGAGCTGGATCCAGGAGTTTGGTCCAGGGTGCGAAGGGACGGCCAGACCCCATTCAAGCTGTGGCGGCTAAGGAGCTACAGTGCTTATGGTTTCCGATGTGGTGCTTATGGTACTCGGCGACAGCTAGGAAGCAGCGATTGGTGGAGGCACCCAGTCGGGGTGCCAGGCGGTCTGTCACACATATACACACACAAACAGATAGACAGTGTAACGGACCGTTTAGCATAAAAGGGGAAAAAACCACTTAGACGATAATCCCCCTTTTCAGAGACAGGCACAGCTACGGTATAATCACCAAAACTCACGAACCGCCAATAAGTGAATGCTCCAAACTCCCGAACGGCATACAAGGGAATAAGGTAGCACTTCAAATAAACGAACAGGAACCATACGAATAGCTGCTAGCAGGCGAACAGGAAAAGCTTCCAAGCGGCTTACACTCCTGGCAATCAGTCCTTAGCAGCATACAGTAAATCCCCCCAAAGACGAGACAAGGCTCCGTGTTGAGGGTCAAGCAGTGGTCTGTTTAATGAGGGCTACCTGCCCGGCTTTTATGCAGGTCTCCCACCTGGTGGACACTCCCCTAGGGGACCAGATGGAAGACTGTGACAAGGGACAGACAAGTATACAAATAGGACACACAGTCACAGTATATTCCCACAATGCATCCTGGCTTCCTCCCCTCTGCCCTGGGAGATAATTGGGAAGTAATGCAATTATCTCCCAAGACAAAGGCAAAACTCCATTACACACGTGGGAACACAAAACCAGCATAACACTTTAAAATGCACAAAGTAACATTTACTACATAAACCACAGACATGTAACATATCCCCAGATAGCTCAGGTCTGAGTGCACATTATTAGGTGAATGGCACTCAGACTACACGAATACAGTTCAATCGCCATGGAGCCAAAGTCTTTACAGTCAGTTTCATACGAATGGGCTCCATGGGATTCCTATCTGGGGTATAAGAAATTCACACAAAAATACCGAACACCGGGTCATTCGTGTGCTTTCACCGAACAAGAAGGGAGGTCGGCGGCTTCAGCGGTGTTCGCGCAAAACTGTGTCCGATTTTAGTTCCATGAAAATAGAGGCGAACACCGCTGTTCATTCGTATGGTTTAAAATGGCCGCGACCTCGTGTTCGGGATACGAATGGCGGCCACCCAGCGTTCATCAATTAAGCTGCGGTTAACCGCAGCTTCAGGGAGGTTAATTGCCGGCACACTCCAGCTCCCAGGTGGTCCAGTCATTCGTACGGTTGTTCGGTAGATTGAAACTACCGAACAACCGGCAGAAAAGCACGAATACAGCTTTTCTGCATGCAAAAATAAAGTCTTTTAAAAGGGGCCATAGTCCAAAGGCAGCAGGCGAGCAACCAGGCTTCTCCAATGCAATGTGGCGAGATTGGTCTCGTCACATCTCTCCCCTTTTCCAAACAGACTAACAGGGTATCTGACCTCCTGCCGGTCAGTGCCCTTGTTAGTCCAGCAGCCCACCCACAACAAATAATCAACAGCACAGCCCACCCACAATAAATGGTTACTACACCTGGGTAGAGAAGAAGCTTGTCCATGTCCAGGTGCCTCACCACGGCTGTGCTGGGTACGGGTACGCTGACTTGGTGGGTTGCTGCGTGGGCAGAGACCAGCGGCACTCTGCCCTGTTGCCAGCGCTACTGGGAGGGTAGCCTGGTGGAAGCCTGGTTGTTGGAGGGGGAGACCGACTGTCTCCCCTTTAAATACACCGCTCTGCTGCTGCTGCTGGAGACTGACTGTCTCCCCTTTAGATGCACAGTCCTGCTGCTGGAGACTGACTGTCTCCCCTTTAGATGCACAGTCCTGCTGCTGGAGACCGACCGTCTCCCCTTTGGTTACCCATCTCTGCTGCTGGAGGGGGAGACCGACTGTCTCCCCTTTGGCTAAACAGCCCTGTCGCTGGGGGGCAGGACCGACCGTCCCTACCCCCTGTGCTGGCAGTGTAGAGACTACGGTCCCATCTGCACCGTTGTGGGGCTTACTGTCTCCCCTTTGTACATTAAGCTGCCGCTGGGGAGAGGGGGTAACAAGCTCCTCTCCCATACATACTTCCAGCTGTGGGGGAGGGAGACCGACTGTCTCTGCTCCCAATACAGAGTCCTGCTGCTGGGGAAAGGAGACTGGGCTCTCTATTCCCGGTAGGACACTCTGCCGCTGGGGAATGGAGACTGGGCTCCCAATTCCCAAAGCATCATTCTGCCGCTGGGGAATGGAGACTGGGCTCCCAATTCCCAAAACATCACGCTGCCGCTGGGGAGGGAGGACACTTCTCTCCTCTCCCTGGACTTCCCACTGCCTTCCCGGCATATCACCTGGCTGCTGGGGGGCAGGAACAACTACCTCTGCCCCCTGTAACTCAGCCTGCCGCTGGGGAATGGAGCTCAGGCTCCCAATTCCCTGCCATATCTCCCGCTGGGGAATGGAGCTCGGGCTCCCAATTCCCTGCAATTCATTCTGCTGCTAGGGGGCAGGAACAACTACCTCTGCCCCCTGTAACTCAGCCTGCCGCTGGGGAATGGAGCTCAGGCTCCCAATTCCCTGCAATATCTCCCGCTGGGGAATGGACCTCGGGCTCCCAATTCCCTGCAATTCATTCTGCTGCTGGGGGGCAGGAACAACTACCTCTGCCCCCTGTAACTCAGCCTGCCGCTGGGGAATGGAGCTCAGGCTCCCAATTCCCTGCAATATCTCCCGCTGGGGAATGGAGACTGGGCTCCCAATTCCCTGCAGGACCGGTGGAGAGACCTCGGTCCCATCTCTACCGGCCACCTGGGGTTCTTCCCAGAAAATATCCACAATGTCTTCCCAGCTGAATGGGTCTGGCTCTGGGTCTGTCATGCTGCTCTCCTGCTGAGCCTTCTCGCTGTATTGAAACAGCTGCTGGTAGCCCTGTTCTAGCTCCATCTCCCGGGTTACCAGGTGGACCAGGTCTTGCTCAATTTTGTGAGCGTCGTCCCAGTCATACCTGCTCTCCCTCCACTCCCAGAGATCACTGAACCGGGCTTGTGTAGGGCTCCCAAATTCGAGCTCTGAAAACGACTCCCATAACAAGCCAGGACCATCAAACTCCTCTCCCTCTGGCTTGTCATGCTCGGCTGTCCAGGGTAGGTACTGTGCCCCATACCACCAGAGCGCCTGGTAGGCATCTTCTAGCCACAACTCCTGCCATACTAGGTGTTCCAATTTCCTCACCCATTCCTCCAGGGGCTGCTCTCCCAGGAAGGGCATCCGCAGGGCTACTCGCTTCTGCAACCGCTGGTCTTCCTTGGGGAGTCTCTTGCCCCGCTGGTACTCCACAATACCCAGTGCCTGGTACCAGATGCCTTTACGGACTGCATCTCGGTCATCCATGGCACCCTCGTCATACTCCACTGCTGGTTCCATGCTGGTGCTGTCAGGGTCGCTGTACTGGGACATGCGTTGCCCTCAAATTGTACAATCCAAAGAAATGGTGTCTCCTGTAGCTGTCCCTCTGGTTGTAGGAACGATCCCACCGCTTGCCACCAATTGTAACGGACCGTTTAGCATAAAAGGGGAAAAAACCACTTAGACGATAATCCCCCTTTTCAGAGACAGGCACAGCTACGGTATAATCACCAAAACTCACGAACCGCCAATAAGTGAATGCTCCAAACTCCCGAACGGCATACAAGGGAATAAGGTAGCACTTCAAATAAACGAACAGGAACCATACGAATAGCTGCTAGCAGGCGAACAGGAAAAGCTTCCAAGCGGCTTACACTCCTGGCAATCAGTCCTTAGCAGCATACAGTAAATCCCCCCAAAGACGAGACAAGGCTCCGTGTTGAGGGTCAAGCAGTGGTCTGTTTAATGAGGGCTACCTGCCCGGCTTTTATGCAGGTCTCCCACCTGGTGGACACTCCCCTAGGGGACCAGATGGAAGACTGTGACAAGGGACAGACAAGTATACAAATAGGACACACAGTCACAGTATATTCCCACAATGCATCCTGGCTTCCTCCCCTCTGCCCTGGGAGATAATTGGGAAGTAACTCAATTATCTCCCAAGACAAAGGCAAAACTCCATTACACACGTGGGAACA